AATAGTCCCTTGCACAACTCTCAGGACGGAGGTCTAAGGTCTTTGTCGTCCAACGAAGACTTTGCCTTGGTCTTTGTCTTGAGGTCTAGTGGCCTTCCTTTAGATTAATGTAAAATTTAAAATGGTAGTTAAATTAAAGACAAATAATATGTCTCATTCTGGTTTCAGACTCTATCTTGCCGCAAATTATGCCATGAAATCGTGTTCACCAAGAATGGTGAACACAAGGCAAAACGATGTCGTTTTTAGGCCAAAAAAAAAAAAAATTCGCGGATGTGGAGTTAACGGCGCGCGTTTGATCAAATTATGAATTTTCTGTTATGAGATTATGAATTTTATGAAAGTTCATAATCTCATAACAGAAAATTCATAATCGCATAACAGAAAATTCATAATCTCACAACTGAAAATTCATAATCTCATAACAGAAAATTCATAATCTTATAACAGAAAATTCATAATCTCATGGTTCCAAAGTGAATGTGTAGGCATGGTTCCAAAGTGAATGTGCAGGCATGGATTCATAATTTATGAATGTCCGTGATTTCGGACGGGAATATGTAGGCATGGTTCCAAAGTGAATGTGCAGGCATGAATTCATAATTTATGAATGTCCGAAATTATGAATGTAATGAAAATTCATAATCTCATAACAGAAAATTCATAATCGCATAACAGAAAATTCATAATCTCATAACTGAAAATTCATAATCTCATAACAAAAAATTCATAATCTTATAACAGAAAATTCATAATCTCATGGTTCTAAAGTGAATGTGTAGGCATGGTTCCAAAGTGAATGTGCAGCCATGGATTCATAATTTATGAATGTCCGTGATTTCGGACGGGAATGTGTAGGCATGGTTCCAAAGTGAATGTGCAGGCATGAATTCATAATTTATGAATGTCCGAAATCTTTGTTCACCTCAAATTAAAGTGAAACCGCAAAATGTGAAAATAAAGAAGAAAAGTCACACAATTAATTAAAAAAAAAAAAAAAAAAAGATAACGGTGTACTAACACCGTTAGAACCGTGTTCACCATGAATGGTGAACACGGTTCCATGGCATAACGTCTGCTATCTTGCTCCAAGGGTCACGCCACTTTCGTAAAACTCATTGTCAACTTAATCAACAAACTTTCGATAAATTATTCGTGTTTATTCATGAACATGCTCGTTTAATTATTGTTTAAGGTTGTTCACGAACAAGTTCATTTAAGTGTAATTTATTTAATTTTATTTTTAAGAGTGTATCTTTTAAACTTTAATTATATTTTTCCTACCAATCATACCGTCTTACCAATTATGAATTATCTTCTTCTCAGTTCTCATTCAGTTTAAGTTTTGAAATTGGATTTGAAGGTATTAAGTTTTGTGGGATGCGGAATCTAAGGGGGGTGTATTCAATCATGAGTTTCATAGAGTTCTAAAGACTTTTATGAACTTTAAAAGTTTGGAGGTATTCAATTCAAACTTTTAAAGAGTCTTTAAAAGTCAGGCGGTATTCAATCAAGATTTTTAAAGAGTCTTTAAAAGTCGTGCGGTATCCGATTAAGACTTTTAAAGAGTCTTTAAAAATCATGTGGTATTCAAAAAGTTATGAACTTTTGTAGACTTTTTAATTTTAAGACTTTTGTAGACTTTTCCTTCTCAAATATAAATAGTTGAAATCCAACCATCAACCCCAAGATTTCAAATTTTCTTTCTAACAACTTTGAATGTTTTCTCTCTCTATTTAAACTATATTTTTTCTCCCTATTTAAACTCTATAAACCTATCTAAATTCAATAAAATTATTTTTTTCTTCATTATCCTATATTTTCCTCATACCTAAACTCTACCAATTTTTCTCTCTCTCGTAAACTTTAAAATTTTCATCTAAAAATTTGAAACAATATTATTTTTACTTCATTATAGCTTGTTTATATTGATTTTTATTTTTTTTCTATGAATTTTTTATCCCTAACTTTCTCTAATTCTCCCTAAATACATGAACAAAGCAATTTTTTTATCGTCAAATTTTATATATAAGTAATTACTAATTAGCATATAAGTCTCAGCATACTACGGATAAAAATAATAATGTTGAGAATGTTGATGTGGGTGAAAAACTATATAATAAGAAGAATTTTATGATATATTATAAATGTTTTGTAAAAAAATTGTAAATGATAAGAATCAAAATCATTGAATGTTTGTAATGATGTATTCAATTTAGAATTTCAATGACTTTTGTAGACTTTTTAAAATAAAAAGTTGATAAAAGTCCATGAATGTTTTTTATATAGACTTTTATAGAGTCTTAAAAAGTTTTAAAAAGTTTTGAACGACTCTATGAAAGTCAATCAAAGTTTATTAAAATCTATCATTTTAAAAGTCTTTAAAACTCTACAAAAGTCATGATTGAATACACCCCCTTAAATTTCTTATGCTTTAATGTTTTTGGCTTGTAATGTGAACAAAGAATGTGTGTGTTTGTGTGTGTGTGTGTGTTTTGTTTTTTTTTTTTTTTTTGAACTTGGCATTTTGAATTTGATATTAGATGTTAATTTTGGACTTATTTGTATTATTTTTATAGTCATTATGTTGTTTGTGTTAGGGATATAATACTACTTAAAAAATTTTAGTCCCGAAAATAATTAAAGGGCACATACAAGAACTAAAGAAGAAGAATTAGTTCGAGTCGTGTGAAAAGCAGTACATTTTTCTTAAACCTTATTTGCTACATTTTTTTTTTGGTGCTAGGAGCGTTATAACCTAGGTTTCCTAAGATAAAATGACTCTATGCATAATAGAAAATTATTAAATTTTAACAAACAAGTATTACAAGGACTCACAATACTTACATTTAAATGATACATTTATGGTGCCTATATTATACAGGGACTGTTGTGGTTCAATAACCAGACAGATCGACTACAAGATACTAGCTAGCTTTGTATGTCAACAGGCCAATATATAGAAATTAAAGTATCTGACTTTAATTTTAAGCTTGTTGTATGTTGAAGAAAATATTAATCAATTAATATTAAGCCTCTGAGTGTACGTGGTTATTGGTGTGTTTCCAGGTAACTGATCCAATTTCTGAGGCTAATAATAAAGTCCCTGCCATAGACTTCCATGCATGCCTTTCAAGCTGATCGATATACAAATTAAATTAATTAAAATTAAAGGAGATGAGCTCTATTAGTCTAATGCATGCTAGAGCTGATTAATTATGAACAGCGTAGCAATGAATTAAGGAGAATTGATATTTTGTATTCGTGCATGCATACAGCCAATAGTGGGGTCGTCAACTTAAGATCAGAGCTGAGTGAAGACCCGTAGGATACGAAAGTATGAATTGAAGTCATATATTATTGTAAAATGCATTTTCGTTAAGATAAATGATAGATAATTCAAGTCCACTTGTTCAGTAGATATGGTGCCGTGCAAGTAGTATTTATTCATGGAAACCTTAGCCTGTATGTATCAATTCTCATATATGCATACTAACATGGAGATCACAAACCTATCTTCTCTACTCTTCTTGTTCATTTTAGCAATGCCTTTCATACCCAGCGCCCAACCCACCAACATCACCACTGATCAATCCTCTCTTCTTTCTTTGAAATCCTACACCACCTTAAGTCCCAACCATACATTGGCAAATAACTGGTCAATCACTGCTTCTATTTGCAACTGGATTGGAGTTGTTTGCGGATCCAAACACCATAGAGTGGTCGCATTGAACATATCGAGTATGGGTATTGTGGGTACCCTTCCTCCACAATTAGGCAACCTCTCATTTCTTGTTTCTCTTAACATAAGTCACAACAATTTCTATGGAAATTTGCCTAGAGAGTTAGCCAGCCTACGCCGACTACAATATTTAGATTTTGGTTATAATAATTTTAGTGGGAAAATTCCTGAGGAGATTGGCAATCTTAAGAATGCAAAATGGCTGATATTGGAAGTTAACCAACTTGATGGTCCTATCCCCTTCACCATCTTCAACATTTCCACATTGCAAAATTTGGTCCTCAGCAATAATAGCTTATCTGGCTCTCTTCCAGTGAATCTATGTCAACATGCTACAAGACTCAAAGTGCTTCGCCTGTCTTTCAACAAGTTGAATGGTGAAATTCCAAAGAATTTATCAAGTTGCTCAAAACTTGAACAATTGCGGTTGACATACAACAATTTTGTCGGGACAATTCCGAGAGAGATTGGGAGCTTAAATATGCTTCAGATTTTAAGTCTTGGCAGTAACAAGTTAGAAGGTATGTATGTTCTTGCATTTGGCTACGATATAAATTTAACGATTTTTTATAATAATTATATTCTAAATACATAGGTATTGATATCGTATTTGTTCGTGACTTAGCTTGCTAAATTGAATTGACAGAGGTAATGTATGTTCCTGCATTTGGCTACTAGAGTATTATGAAATCTTTGAAAATGATCAAATTTAATAGTAATAATTCTAAACACATATACACTATTTATGACTCATCATGTTTTAATTTTGTAGGAACAATATAATACCCGAAACAATATTTAACATTTCTACACTAACATTTTTAAGCATGGCAAACAACAGTCTGTTTAGTATTCTTCCACCAAACATGTGTTTACATCTTCAAAAGCTTGAACAACTTTACTTGTACAAGAACAAGTTATATGGCAACATTTCAAGGAGCATAGGTGAATGCTTTTCACTTAAATACCTTTATATGTGGGATAATACACTAAAAGGGTCGTTGCCGAGACAAATTGAAAATTTGACAATTCTAAAGGGTCTTGATCTTTTTGGGAATTCCTTATCAGGCACGGACAATACTTCTCTTTTTTTTAATTGTCTTACACTCTCAAAAGATATAGTTTTTTATTGAGCTACAAAATAAAAGAAAGTTAATATAATATAAATATAGGAATAGACTCCATTATCACAACTACAAATGGATATTGTATTGAATTCGTTTATGACTTAACTTGTGTAACTTGAAATGGCATGCAGGTGAAATACCAAGAGAGATTGGGAGCTTGAATATGCTTCAAATTTTAGAACTTGGTAATAATAACTTGGAAGGTATGTGTGCTCATGTATTTGGATACTAGAATACTTTGAAAACGATTAACTTTAATGATTTTTTAGTAAAAATTACAATAAATATATATACACAGTGCATATAACTCATATTTTGATTTCATTTTGTAGGAATAATTCCAGAAACAATATTTAACATTTCTACTCTAACTGTTATGCACATGGCAAACAACAGTTTATTTGGCATTCTCCCACCAAACATGTGTTCACGTTTTCAAAAGCTTGAAGAGCTTTACTTGTATATGAACAAGCTATATGGAAACATTCCTGAGAGCATAGGTGAATGCTCTTCACTTGAATACCTTCATATGTGGGATAATCAAATAAATGGATCATTGCCTAGACAGATTGGAAATTTGACAATTCTAAAGGGTCTTGATCTTTTTGGGAATTCCTTATCAGGTACGGACAATACTTCTCTTTTTTTTTAATTGTCTTACACTCTCAAAAGATATAGTTTTTATTATTGAGCTACAAAATAAAAGAAAGTTAATATAATATAAATATAGGAATAGACTCCATTATCACAACTACAAATGGATATTGTATTGAATTCGTTTATGACTTAACTTGTGTAACTTGAAATGGCATGCAGGTGAAATACCAAGAGAGATTGGGAGCTTGAATATGCTTCAGATTTTAGAACTTGGTAATAATAACTTGGAAGGTATGTGTGCTCATGTATTTGGATACTAGAATACTTTGAAAACGATTAACTTTAATGATTTTTTAGTAAAAATTACAATAAATATATATACACAGTGCATATAACTCATATTTTGATTTCATTTTGTAGGAATAATTCCAGAAACAATATTTAACATTTCTACTCTAACTGTTATGCACATGGCAAACAACAGTTTATTTGGTATTCTCCCACCAAACATGTGTTCACGTTTTCAAAAGCTTGAAGAGCTTTACTTGTATATGAACAAGCTATATGGAAACATTCCTGAGAGCATAGGTGAATGCTCTTCACTTGAATACCTTCATATGTGGGATAATCAAATAAATGGATCATTGCCTAGACAGATTGGAAATTTGACAATTCTAAAGGGTCTTGATCTTTTTGGGAATTCCTTATCCGGTACGGACAATACTTCTCTTTTTTTTAATTGTCTTACACTCTCAAAAGATATAGTTTTTATTATTGAGCTACAAAATAAAAGAAAGTTAATATAATATAAATATAGGAATAGACTCCATTATCACAACTACAAATGGATATTGTATTGAATTCGTTTATGACTTAACTTGTGTAACTTGAAATGGCATGCTGGTGAAATACCAAGAGAGATTGGGAGCTTGAATATGCTTCAGATTTTAGAACTTGGTAATAATAACTTGGAAGGTATGTGTGCTCATGTATTTGGATACTAGAATACTTTGAAAACGATTAACTTTAATGATTTTTTAGTAAAAATTACAATAAATATATATACACAGTGCATATAACTCATATTTTGATTTCATTTTGTAGGAATAATTCCAGAAACAATATTTAACATTTCTACTCTAACTGTTATGCACATGGCAAACAACAGTTTATTTGGCATTCTCCCACCAAACATGTGTTCACGTTTTCAAAAGCTTGAAAAGCTTTACTTGTATATGAACAAGCTATATGGAAACATTCCTGAGAGCATAGGTGAATGCTCTTCACTTGAATACCTTCATATGTGGGATAATCAAATAAATGGATCATTGCCTAGACAGATTGGAAATTTGACAATTCTAAAGGGTCTTGATCTTTTTGGGAATTCCTTATCAGGTACGGACAATACTTCTCTTTTTTTTAATTGTCTTACACTCTCAAAAGATATAGTTTTTATTATTGAGCTACAAAATAAAAGAAAGTTAATATAATATAAATATAGGAATAGACTCCATTATCACAATAAATATATATACACAGTGCATATAACTCATTAACTTTAATGATTTTTTAGTAAAAATTACAATAAATATATATACACAGTGCATATAACTCATATTTTGATTTCATTTTGTAGGAATAATTCCAGAAACAATATTTAACATTTCTACTCTAACTGTTATGCACATGGCAAACAACAGTTTATTTGGCATTCTCCCACCAAACATGTGTTCACGTTTTCAAAAGCTTGAAGAGCTTTACTTGTATATGAACAAGCTATATGGAAACATTCCTGAGAGCATAGGTGAATGCTCTTCACTTGAATACCTTCATATGCGGGATAATCAAATAAATGGATCATTGCCTAGACAGATTGGAAATTTGACAATTCTAAAGGGTCTTGATCTTTTTGGGAATTCCTTATCAGGTACGGACAATACTTCTCTTTTTTTTAATTGTCTTACACTCTCAAAAGATATAGTTTTTATTATTGAGCTACAAAATAAAAGAAAGTTAATATAATATAAATATAGGAATAGACTCCATTATCACAATAAATATATATACACAGTGCATATAACTCATTAACTTTAATGATTTTTTAGTAAAAATTACAATAAATATATATACACAGTGCATATAACTCATATTTTGATTTCATTTTGTAGGAATAATTCCAGAAACAATATTTAACATTTCTACTCTAACTGTTATGCACATGGCAAACAACAGTTTATTTGGCATTCTCCCACCAAACATGTGTTCACGTTTTCAAAAGCTTGAAGAGCTTTACTTGTATATGAACAAGCTATATGGAAACATTCCTGAGAGCATAGGTGAATGCTCTTCACTTGAATACCTTCATATGCGGGATAATCAAATAAATGGATCATTGCCTAGACAGATTGGAAATTTGACAATTCTAAAGGGTCTTGATCTTTTTGGGAATTTCTTATCAGGTACGGACAATACTTCTCTTTTTTTTAATTGTCTTACACTCTCAAAAGATATAGTTTTTATTATTGAGCTACAAAATAAAAGAAAGTTAATATAATATAAATATAGGAATAGACTCCATTATCACAACTACAAATGGATATTGTATTGAATTCGTTTATGACTTAACTTGTGTAACTTGAAATGGCATGCAGGTGAAATACCAAGAGAGATTGGGAGCTTGAATATGCTTCAGATTTTAGAACTTGGTAATAATAACTTGGAAGGTATGTGTGCTCATGTATTTGGATACTAGAATACTTTGAAAACGATTAACTTTAATGATTTTTTAGTAAAAATTACAATAAATATATATACACAGTGCATATAACTCATATTTTGATTTCATTTTGTAGGAATAATTCCAGAAACAATATTTAACATTTCTACTCTAACTGTTATGCACATGGCAAACAACAGTTTATTTGGCATTCTCCCACCAAACATGTGTTCACGTTTTCAAAAGCTTGAAGAGCTTTACTTGTATATGAACAAGCTATATGGAAACCTTCCAAGGAGCATAGGTGAATGCTCTTCACTTGAATACCTTCATATGTGGGATAATCAAATAAATGGATCATTGCCTAGACAGATTGGAAATTTGACAATGTTAAAGGTGCTTCAACTTTTTGAGAATTCATTGTTAGGTATGGACGATGGAACTCTTTTTTTTTTTTAATTGTTTTTCACTCTCAACACATCCAATTTTTTCTTCAGGTCCAAAATTAAAATAAAGATATTATAATGTAAAACTAGAAATAGACTCCATCATGACAACTATATTTTGATATTGTATTTGTTCAGGACATAGCTAGAGTAACTTGAATTGGCAATTTGGCATGCAGGTGAAATACCAAAAGAGATGGGCAACCTTAATAAACTAGAGAAGCTTGAATTGCATGAAAACGGATTAAGTGGTTCCATTCCGTGGGAAATCTTCAATATGTCAACACTCAAATCACTATCCCTTGTAGTAAATAACCTTTCAGGTACTCTTCCAACATTTTTAGGTCATTCCCTTCCTAATTTAGAATACTTATACCTTGGAGGAAACTATATTGGAGGAGTTATACCTCCCCAAATCTCAAATGCTTCCAACCTTGTTGGTCTTGGTCTTAGCGGTAACCAATTCGTAGGCTTCATTCCAAATTCCCTTGGAAACTTGGAAAAACTCGAAACTCTAACGTTGTTTTCCAACAACCTAACAACTGATCCTCAATTTAGCCTTATAACTTCATTGGCAAAGTGTAGATACATCCAAATCTTAGAGTTGTCATTTAACCCTTTAAACGTTGTGCTCCCAAATGCAATCGGCAACCTCTCCCACACTCTCCAAATTTTGGACTTAGCAAATTGTAACATCAGGGGACAAATTCCACAGGAGATTGGCAATCTAAGCAGCTTATACAAGTTGAGTTTAGGGTCCAATGACATTATAGGATTTTTGCCTACAACCATTCAGGCTCTTCAGAGTCTTCAGGCATTCATCATACAAGGGAACAGATTAATAGGATCATTTCCAGATGTGATCTGTGAACTACCGAATTTGTTTTGGATAAATTTAGGCAGAAATAAATTTTCAGGTCCAATCTCCGATTGTTTAGGGAACATTTCTTCCCTGGGAAAGATCAATCTGTATGAAAACGAATTCACAGTCTTCCCTCCTACCCTATGGAGCATTAAACATCTTTTGAAGCTCGACTTGGATTCGAATAACTTGAACGGTTCTCTACCTCAAGAAATTGGGAATGCAAAGATGGCAACTACTATTGATCTCTCAAATAACAAACTATCTGGAGAAATTCCGAGTAGTATTGGAGGTTTGACAGAGTTGATGTATTTTTTTGTGGCAAATAACACAATTCAGGGTTCTATTCCTGACACATTTGGCAATCTCCTGGATCTACATTCATTGGATCTTTCTGATAATAAAATCTCCGGAATGATTCCCAAGTCATTGGAGGGACTTATAAGTATGAACTATTTCAATGTTTCATACAACAAATTGACCGGAGAAATTCCAAGTGGAGGCCCTTTTGCCAACTTCACTTATGAATCATTCATGGGGAATGATGGTCTATGTGGTACTCCTCGGATGCATGTCCCACCTTGCCCTGCTAATACTCCTCGGATGCATCAATCAAAGAAGAACAGAGTGCTTCTTATTGTACTTGTCTCGTTGGTAGTTCTTATTGTGCTAATAGCCTCTGTTTCTGTGCTATGCATCTTCAAGAGGCACAGCAGGGGGGAGGTTCCAGAAGAACCAAATTTTCTGTCAGCAACAACTACAGCAAGATATTCGTACTATGAACTCCAACAGGCAACAAATGGGTTTGATGAAAGCAACTCGCTAGGTAGTGGAAGCTTTGGATCAGTTTATAAAGGGATTTTAACAAATGGGATGCACGTAGCTGTCAAGGTTTTTCGTTTGGAACATGAAGGTTCAAATAGGAGTTTTGACAGCGAATGTGAGGTTTTACGCAACATTCGTCACAGAAATCTCACAAAGATACTTGGCAGTTGCTCCAACTTGGATTTTAAAGCATTGGTGCTACAGTACATGCCCAACGGGTGTTTACATAAGTGGTTGCATTCTCACAGTTATTTCTTGGATATGATACAAAGAGTGAGTATAATGATAGATGTGGCATATGCTTTGGAATATCTTCACTATAGTTACTCCAATCCTATTATCCATTGCGACTTGAAACCCAGCAATGTCTTAATAGATGTTGACATGGTGGGACATCTGAGTGACTTTGGTGTTGCAAAGCTCTTAGGAGATGGAAATTCCATTGCCATTACAAACACATTAGCAACAATTGGTTACATTGCTCCAGGTAAATGCTTTAATTTTATTTTATTTTTTCACTTTTTGGATTTGGTTTTAGCACATACCATTCTGCAATTCTTATGGTATACTATTTAATTTTGCATTGCTTCTAGAGTATGGACAAGAAGGTCTTGTGTCCACTTGTAGTGATATGTACAGTTATGGTATCATGCTGCTTGAAGTTTTCACAAGAACTCAGCCAGCAGATGAAATGTTCAGTGAAGATTTAAGTCTAAGAAGTTGGGTGCACAACGCCTTTCCTACGAATATAGGTCAGATCATAGACCCAAACTTACTTAGACTGGATGAAGAAAGTTACGATGAAAAATTGCAATGTGCGTTGGCTATCCTTGAAGTAGGCATGAAATGCTCAACAAAATCCCCTCGAGAGAGGATGACCATCAAGGTTGTGTTACCAGCACTGGAAAAGATCAAAGTTAAACTTGTTTTGCTGTATCCGAGAACTTGAAGTAGTATGCCACTACAAAAAACTGAATATTTAGCAACACACATTTAGCGACAGTTATATATCACCATCGCTAAAGATTTATTTAGTGGCGGTTGCAACAACCGCTACTCTTTTTGCAATGAAACATCATTTCTAAAATGTTAGTGGCGAATGTCAAGCCACTCATCTCCGCCAGGCCAAGCTCTGACTCCCGGTACGTATAATGGCGTAATTGTTTCTTCAACTTGAACCTATCCTTCCTGGCATGCTTTATCATACTACTACTACCTGTACATATTAGATTAGTAGTCTTTATTGAAGTTTTCTGAGACTGCTCATATAATTTATGCTTGTACTCTACATGATGCCTTTATTTCTTTGATTTAGGTAATTGCTTGCAAATGGGCTCTCGAGTATGCCTACAAGGGAAGAAAAAGCTTTCTCACAACAGAATAGTTGGATTTCAGGTACTTTGAAAGTTTCTAAAAAAAATTAAAGTAATTGTGAACTCTTTGAAATCATGTATATAAACTTCTATTTGATGGTAAATCACAATCTTAAGCGAATAAATATACGTATTCTAAAATTGTTTAATATCATAAGTATATGCTTTCAAATTCCATTCCTCATCTATGATTCATTTTGCAATTGAGTTAGCCTTTAACTGAAAGTTTTGAGCTTCCTGCTGATTTTGTTAGGTAAATAGGTGGAAGTGCTTAGCTTCTTTGTAAAGCATGATCAAACAACTTGAAATGCAGGCATGTAGCTCTCTGCAGAATCTAAAAACTTAGGCGCTTCATGATAAGGATTTTGTTTCATTTATGCTTAACTTCTTCTTGGTCTCTAGTCTTTTTGTTATAACTATTATGTGCACAACAAAAAGTTATCTATTGTGTTATAATATTAGTGTGTAGAGATTGAAACATGAGGTGAAAGTATATTGACATTTAGATGGCAACTTTAGTAGAATACTTTGGACATGGACAACAGAAACACAAGTTAGAGTTTGTGTTATTATTTACTATATATTCTAAATTGCTAAAAACTTTCTAGTTCGAAGACTTTGCAAACCACAATGCTTTTGATCTGCTAGCAAAGTATCATACTACACATTTTGTGTTCAATGATTCAAGAGCTTTCTTGTTGAAACATTTCCCTCAGTTCTAAATGTTACATAATTATATCACAAGGAACATCATGTGGTGTCCTTGTTGGGCTCGTTTCAGCTTTGAAAGTACTTGGCAGAGCATTAATTGACCAAACTTTCTTGTTCCTAGGTGCCGGAGAGGTAAGCTTGTTCATCTTTTGATGAATTTTTACAATGCTAGAATTATACAATTGTATAAACCACATTTTGTTTAAACCATTGAAGCTTGGAACTGGAATAGTTGAGCTTATTGCACTTGAAATTTCAGTGAAGGTACTAAATTGTGTGTCGTTGTTGTAGTTCTATTTCACTTTCTTTCCCTGTTGGTTTCTCAATATTCTTACTGCCTATGTAACTTTTGCAGTCAGGGGTTAAGTTAGATGAAGTTCGAAAAAAGATTTGACTTGTCAACTCATCAAAGGCAATTGTACTGATCTCATCAATTTTGACTAGTTTCATAATAATGCATATTTTCTTTTACTGCTGCCATGAACTTGACTTTTTCACCATTAAAACTTGTTTGCTTTTATATCAGGAACTGATTGTGAGTTCTCGATTAGAAATGCTTCATCACTTCAAAAGGTCTTGGGCTCAGAAACATGAACCAGTCAAGGATCGGAACTCATCGGCCCTATCAATGTGAGTTCATAGTGGCTAACAGAATTAAAAGAATAGAGTCGATCATCTTCACTTATGTTGTGTTTCATCTTGTTTCAAGCAATAAAGCTAACAATTCTAATTGGAACTTTAGGAATTAGAAGAGCATTTGCCTAGGAGTGCCTTGGATCACAATCTGAATAGTGGAGTTAAACCCCAATCTGTAAACCTTTGTGTCATATTGTGTCCGCATATTTGCTGGTGGAGTGCCCGTGTAGTTGAAAGGAATTCGAGGCTTCCCAAGAAATCATCGGTGAAAACTCCACTTATGTTATAGTAATGAGCTTGAAGGAGAGTTGTAGTAGCAGGCATGACAAAGCTGTAGTAAATTTACACTTTTATTAATAAAGATAAAGATGCAAGTATAAATATTTTATGTAAAAGTACTTTTTAGTTATGTATGCAATTCAGATAATATGTAGACTTTTGTACTTGAATTTTTTTGATGTTATTATTTGACAAATATTTGTTACAAATGATGTTTTTCTAAATTGAATGTGTATACAAAGTTAGTTTGTGGTTTAGTTTGTGTATACAGAATGTGGTATACAGAGTAAGTATAAATATAATGTGTATCATCTTTTAAATATATTTTTAAATTTGAATGTAGATAATTTATATATATATATATATATATATATATATATATATATATATATATATATATATATATATATATATATGATAAGAGTCTAAAAGTTTATAATTTCATCTTGCATTTAAGCTTATTTTTCTTGTTATTTGTTATAATTTTGCCCAAAGTGTCCTCATTTGATTCATTTGTGTGCTTATGAGTAATTTTTGATGATTTAGATGAATTGAGTGATTTTTGGAGCATTTTGGATGCATGTAGAGTCAATGGGAGCCAATGAGAAGCTATGAAGATGGGGGCAACACCTTTTAGAGAGCCAAATTGTGGTGTGTTTAGTGGTTGTAAGTGTAAATATATTGCACATTTAAACCTCTGTATTATTGGCTTAGATTAGTTGTGAAAGTAGTAGTCCTGGATTAGTTGCTGGATGAGTCACGTCGTCTGGAGTAGTTGACTGGATCAGCGCAAGGAAGTAATCCAGGAGGTATGAAGCTTCTTCAAATTAATTATTCAAGATCCTATCAATGGGGAGATCTAAATCTAATGGAGCAGCTGAAATCATGGATGAGAAGAGTGCATGTTTTGAGGATCAAATCTTCCTTTACAACCTATATATAATGCTACCTTAATTAGCATTCAAATTGTGCACTCTTTCACAAAGCCTTACTCTGAAAATCTTGGTGCATCTATACCAAATATATCCTGTACTGTTGTGTGTGAAGAAGATCTTGCAATCAGATCATGAAGCAATGAAGAACGCCTGCACATCGGATCCACTGGAGTAGGTTCTGGAATAGTTATAGGTTATACTTTAGAGTGTAATTAACTATCCTCTTGTACTCTGTTTTTCATCATAGTGGATTTGGGTTGATGTGAGTGGCCCCGCAGACGTAGGAGTGAGGCTCCGAACTGCGTGAACATATCCTGGTGCATGCTTTCTTTTACTGCTATTTATTTCATGTTCTTTATTATATCTGGAATATATTTTCATCTAGTCCAGCTTTATAATTGAAATAAATTAAAGGTATTAAAGGCTATATCTTGCATTCAAGACTCACGTGCTTTTTCAATTGGTATCAGAGCTCGGGGACTTAAATTACTAGTCTAACCGATCTGGCTATCACGTGTTTTTTGAACTCAAGATCTCAGCATCTGTCTATTGTTTTGTTTATCTGGTTTACTTGTTGCTCACTGTGCATTGAGTCTTACAGAATGGAACGACATAGAGCACCTCCTGAGTTAACAGGTGACAACTATGCGTACTGGAAGGCCCGCACCAAAATGCATCTACGAGCTCAAGGGGAGAGGGTCTGGAGGGCTGTTCTTACTGGTTGGTCTCATCCTACCAAAGATGGAGACAATACAGGAGATCCTCCAGTCCTCAAACCAGAGGCAGAATGGACAGGGACTGAGATGACTACCGCAAACTACAATCATAAAGCGTTAGATACTATATTTTCTTTAATGCATGAGAGTCAATTTACCATTGTTGCAGGATGTGATTCGGCTAAAGAAGCTTGGGATGCCTTAGAAACTACCTATGAAGGAACTGCATCGGTTAAACAATCCAAACTACAAATGGTACAAACCGACTTTGAAGATCTAAAGATGAAAGATGATGAAACCATAGTGGATTTTCATGCTCGGGTACAAGAATTAGCCAATAGAGCAAGCATTCTAGGCGAACCAATCACTCAAGAAAGACTCGTCAAAAAGGTTCTTCGCTCTCTCCCTCCAAGATTTCGAATGAAAGTTACAGCCATTCAGGAGCACGATGGATGGGAAAAGAAAACGGTACAACAATTGATGGGAAGCCTACAAACTTATGATATGGAAATCTTAGGCGGACCTGAAACAAAAGGAAAAACCGTAGCATTTACTGTCGAAGACACTGGAGCTAGATCTGATCCAGATGAGGTAAGCGATGATCCAGTAGAGTTCTTATATAAAGGTTTTTCTAAATTGTTGCAACAGGTAAAACAACGACAAACTGGAAAATTTGGCAAGTTTCAAGGCCAAAGAGGATCGGGGTCGAGTGCTATTCGAAACAATCAAAAATCAAACTCGTCCAACCAACGATCAGGTGCATCTAGAAACTCTCAATCCAAAGACAAAACCGGAGGCAAAGGGATCAAATGTTATGAATGTGAAGGGTATGGCCATGTGCAAGCTGAATGTCCAACCTATTTGAGAAGGAAGAAGTCAATGAAAGTTGCCCTTACCTGGAGTGATGATGATGAACCAGAAACTGATCCAGGTTCTGATCCAGATGAGATCTCTGGAAACTTTGTTGCCTTTACAACTATTACAACTACAGTACCTGAATCTACAACTGGCGAAGAATCAGAAATTGAAGAGTATGTGTCATCAGAAGACCAAGATTTACCTGCACCTTCTTTTGAAGTAGAATATAAAAAATTGTATGCAAAATGGGAAATACTTGTAAAAGTTAATAGATCTCTGTCTAGTCAGGTTAACATTCTAAAAAATGCCAAAAAGGTGTATCTATCTAAAATATCTGACAGGGACAGCATCATTGAAGACAATCACAAGATAAAAATGATGGACAACACATCCACCTTAGACCAAATTTTAGATTCTGGTCGAAAGACATCTACAAAATATGGGTTAGGCTACTCTGGAGGAAAGGACAAAGCGACTACAATTTTCGTCAAAGCCTCAGGCCCTGACTCAGTTTCTGGAGCAGATCAAGATAGTCCAGAAACTAGTACAGCTCAGCGTCAAGTCAAATTTTCTCCAAGAAAAACTTCAACCAAGGTTAGATTGTATAACCCTATATGTCATTACTGCAGGGTACATGGACATACAAAACCGGAGTGCTTCTACTTCTACAAAGACCAACATTTTGAGAAATACACAAACAAGTCTATCACCCCATTTGTCAAGCAAATTTGGGTGAAGAAAAGTGACTTTGTCTGCCACGTCTCTTTCCACTCTACGAGTACTAACAGAAAAGAGAGATGGTACTTTGATAGTGGATGTTCGCGTCATATGACGAGTGATGCTAAGTTCCTAAACAATATAAAGGGAAGTACAGGAGAAGTAACTTTCGGGGATGGTGTTAAGGGAAAGATTACTGGAATTGGCACTCTAAATGTCACAGGTCTACCCAAACTCAAACAAGTTCTCTTGGTGGAAGGTCTGCACGCAAATCTGATAAGTATCAGCCAATTATGTGATCAGGAATGGAAAGTCTGCTTTACAAAAGACAGTTGCAACGTCACAGACTACCAAAAGAACTGTGTCATGGAAGGTAAACGCTCTTCTGATAATTGCTATATACTCACTAACGATTCCGTTTGTTACAGGTCCAACATAAAAGAATCAAAACTACGACATCACTTCATAAGAGAATTGGTAGAAGACAAGGAGATCAACCTGGAGTACATTTCAACGGAGAAAAATCTAGCTGACCTATTTACAAAACCTCCTGAAAACACAAGAATTGAGTTACTCCAGGCTGCTCTTGGAGTGTGCAGGTTTTCCATCTAATTTTTTTTTTCTGTGGGATAATAAAGTCTTTTGTATCTCCTTTGTTTTGTGTTTGTTTTATTTCTTTTCAGGTTTAATCCAGAAAATCCTCCAGATATGATCTCTGCTCCAGTAAGCACTCCAGACCGGAAAATAAGCCTTTTAACCGCTCTAAATGCTCAGATTTTTTATTATTATTAATTTCTTCTCTCTCATGGCTGTTATACACCACCGCCTTCTTCCCCAATTAATAGAATCAAATCCCTAGAATTACTCTCACCTTCCTTTAAACTCTACACACGCCGTTCATCAAAATTTCGAATCCTAGCCAAATTCTTCTACCAAATCGAATTTACCTATCTCACATATGGCCAGCCATTCTAATCTTAATCCTTTCCTTTTCTATCTCACTAAAGATGAGCGCTTAGATCTATATTGTCAGATTCTTCGAGGCACAGCTCCAATTTCAGACATCTCTTCTCGCCGGGTTCTTGCAACGCTTCTTTGACACCCATCTCTGATGGAGGAATTATCTGTGAAGGACTCCAAGGAGATCTTTTCCAGAGCATCAAGGATCACGGATGACCCATGGCCACTTGATGACATTTTCAACGAGGAAACCCTTCAGGAAGAGCTTCGGGCTCGGCAACTACGGGCTCAATCCACGGTTTGATTTCACTAATCTCTTAGGAAGCAATACCTTATTGCTTGTGAATTAGGCATGCATCGCATTTTTATGCTTTAATTTGCCTATATTGCCTTGGATATATATGGTGTGTTTTTTTGAGATTGTGCTATTGTCTTGCGAAATTAGGATCCCTCTGCTGGTATGTCTATTGTGCCTCTGTCTACAATTGCTTTCACAGGTTCCCAACCTCAACGCACCGACGAGGCCACTCCCAAAATGGCTGAGCATTCGCATGATCCAGCCGCTGCTCCAGCCTCAGATCCAGCTATTGATGATCTAGTCAGATCCAGTTATTGATGATCCAGTCTCTGCTCTAGGCTCTGTTCCAGAGGATGTTGAGGTATAGTGACGTTGAGATTCGAATCATGACCTTTGGTCTGGCTCTGATACCAAATTGAAGCATGTGCTCCATCTCAACTAAAAGCCTAAGCTGATAGTTGGATTGCACATTGATGGCTATATGCTCACAGGTGTTACAAAGCTCTTAGGAGATGGGAATTCAATTGCCATTACAAACACCATAGCAACAATTGATTACATTGCTCCAGGTAAATGTTTTAGTTTTTTAACTTTCTCAATTTGATTTTAACATTCACCACATAACATTTTTTTTTTGGTATATCCAAGATTTTCAATGTCGGACACAGTGGCTAATCCCTTCGCTAGATTGTAGAACCAACTCTTTTTGGGTGGAACAACTGGTTTGTCACATAATGTTATGCATTTCTAATACTTTCCTATCAAAATTTGCACTCCTAGAATATGGACAGGAAGGTCTTGTATCCACACATTCTTATAAGTAACAAACAATTTATTATTCATGATTAGTATTATATTTTTCAATTAAATATTAATATTGTGCCTCTTGAGCCGACCTATCTCATAGAACCATGAGATGGTATCATATGACTCACCTTCTTTTTCCCGGGTTTATTTGTGTGAAGAGGATGCCGAGACTTTGACCAAAATTAAGACACTAATAAAGACTTAAAAAGAAAAGGAGACTGGCTTTACTATCCACAGGGTAAAGCACGCCAATCCTGCTTCCAACGTCTATAGTGCGTTTTGGACGGGGAATTATTGTCCCATACACGACCAAGACTTTGCCATGTTCTTCATCCTAACATCTATATTCTTCCTCCAAACTAGTGGATGACGAAGACCATTGCGGACTTTGTCCAGGCTGTAATATAATTAGAAAGAAATAAAAAAAACAAAAGAATCATGGTTCGTCATGAAATTCTTATGATTAAACAGTGATATACCAATAAATTTTGGATATGTAAAGATTAAATATTATTCCCTTAATGGGTTCACTCAGTTATTCTTATAAAAATGTAGAACTTCTATTGTAATTTGTTCAAATGTATCCTTTATAATTGTCATACGAATTATCAATTCTAGTTCTTCAGCAGTGACAAAAGCCCGTAACAATTTTGGAAGTTAGAGTTCCGTGTTTTTTTTTTTTTTTTTTTTTAATTCGATTTGCTCTATGTATATCAATGTTGCAAAAATCGCGCCTAGGCGCCGATTAATCGGCGCCTAGGCGCTAGGCGCCATTGCGCCGCCGCGAGGAACGGCCTCCGCGGCCGGCCGCCTAGACCGCCTAGCCGGCTGAACCGGCGCCGAACCGGTTAAATTTTTTTTTTTTTTTTTTTGCGTTTTAAATTGCGAAAACTTCGGGAAGGCATAACTTTTGACTCGGTTGTCCGTTTTGGATAATTTTTTTTTTCAAATCGCGTATTTTTTCGAGATCTATCCACCGCAAACCGCCGTGGTCCACTAATTTCTCAAAAAAATGCTTCTTTAGCTCTTAATTTTAGTTTTTTTATGTATTTAGATGGTTTAAACAATCTTTTGAACACTTTTACAACCACTTTCGTAAATAATTTCTAAGAAATAACTATGGAAACCTTATGTTTTATTACTAAATTTTTAATTTTTAATTTTATTTTTAATTAAAAAAATAAAAAAAATAAAAAAAAAATATAAAAAATCGGCGCCTAGGCGCCGATTAATCGGCGCCCCCTTGGCGCCTAGGGGGCGCCTAGCGTGTTTTGCAACATTGATGTATATACCTTTTTTTCATCAAGACATATACTTCACTTTACAAATTTTAATTTACTTTCATATTGTATTTTATATAAAAAAAAGTTTTTTTATTTTTTTATTTTTCACTTTTGGTCTCACAAATATAAACCATCTTCTTATTTGATTCCTAACTATTAATTTTTCTTTTTCATATTTAGTCTCACATTTTTTAAATCTTTACCACATTTGGTTACTCCAACCAATCTAAGTAATATCAACACACTTCAAGAAGTAAAACTTACACGTATCACCAGGGACGGAACCAGAAATTTGGTTGAGAGGGGGGTGGGCGAAAAAGTACAAACGAATTCAGAAAATTTTTCCAGTAAAGGCGAAACATTAAAACAAAAGAGATAATTTAAAAATAAATAAATAAATTACCTAAGAAATATAGTTGTAAATATTGTTGAATATGGACGAAAAATAAAACACATCAACAATATACAAATGATATTTCACCACACATCATCACTCAATATCTCATCTAACTTTTCAAATTTTATTTATCAGTATTATACTTATATCATGGAAATAGTAGTAGATAATTACAGTAATATTTAGACCAAAGAGAGTTATAAAGCTTTCAAACTAAATAAAATAAATAAATCATTCAAGTCCTTGAAACCCTGCAAAAAAATAAAAAATGCTAGTAATATATAGTCCTATTAGCAAGTGAATAATGTATTATGGCGCTTAATTACCTGAGTACTAATTTTGATTCCATGTTACTTTCCATCGTAATAATAATAATCTTATAGTCACCCAGAGATGCTCATTGTTTTGCTAGATCAGGATGCTATGGGGGCTCCCCGCATCTATCTGGGGTGAATAGTTTCTTTGTGTCTATCTGTTCGGGGATTGTTCCTTTCATTTTCTCCAAATAAAAATAATATTAATCTTATAATATATAACGAAAGAGTGAATAGTATACCCTTAATAAAAGTTATATCTTTTTTAAAAAATATCAAACTGCTTGTATAGTATACTTTTAACTTCATTGACACATATCCTTACCTCTTAATATTCATAGCTTTATTGCCCACTTTTGTCGATTGTTCTTACAATTATGTATTCTGAGTTGAATACTGGTCGCATACTGTGGCTGTCCACATGACAGTCAAGACGCGTCTCCTACGAAAGTATAAAGTAATTAATATATTATATAAATATTATATAATTGAAGTCTACTTTTTGAGCTATTTTGGTGGGGCGCATGCAACACATATGGTACTATATATAGTAGTATTTATTCATGGAAACCTTAACTAGCCTGTATTGTATCAACTCTCATATATGCCCGCATACTAACATGGAGATCAGAAAGTTATCTTCTCTATTATGAAGTTATTATAATGCAAATATAGGAATAGACTCCATTATGAAATCTACATATGGATATTGTATTTGTTCATGACTTAGCAAGGGTATATAACTCTAATTGGCAGGTGAAATACCAAGAGAGATTGGGAGCTTGAATATGCTTCAGGTTTTAATACTCGATAAGAACATCTTGGAAGGTAAGTATGTGCCTGCATTTAGCTACTAGAATTTGACAATGCTAAAATATCTTGGACTTACTAAAAATTCATTGTTAGGTATGGAATGTAGATCTCTTCTTTTTTTTTTTTTTTTTTTTAATTGTCTTGCGCTCTCAACATGTACAGCTTTTTATATTGAGCTGCAAAATAAAAGAAAGTTATTGTAATGTAAATTTTAGAATAGACACCATCATGACAACTACATATGGATATTGTATATATGTTCGTGACTTAGCTTGGGTAATTCTAATTTGCAGGTAAAATACCAAGTGAGATTAGGAGATTGAATATGCTTCGGATTTTAGTACTCAGTAGTAACAAGTTGGAAGGTAAGTATGTCACTATGTGCTTGCTAAGTTGCAATTAGCTACTAGAGTAATGTGAAACATTTAAAAATGACCAAATTTAATGATTTTTATGTTATAATTCTAATAAATATATATACACAGTGAATATAACTCATATTTTGATTTAATTTTGTAGGAATAATACCAAAAAATAATATTTAACATTTCTACACTAACTCATATACGTGACAAACAAAAGTATGGTTTGTATTCTCCCATCAAACATGTTCACATCTTCTAAAGCTTGAAAAACTTGTTAAAAAAAAAAAAAAAAAAAAAAACTTTATGGCAACATTCCAAGGAACATAGGTGAATGCTCTTCACTTAAAAACTTTTATATATGTGGGAGAATCAACTAAATGAATCATTATCAAGACATATTTGAATCTGATTAAAGGATATTAAACTTATTGAGAATTCCTTGTCATGTATGGATGGTAGATTATATGACAAGATGACAAAATTTCTATGTCTATCAAATATCAAATTATAATATAGTGTTAAAAGATATCGTTTCATTAGGGCATCCCCAATGGAGGAGAATAAAAAGGGGGAAAAGAGTGAAATAGGGAAAGAAAACAAATGGAGGGGAGCTAGCAAATATTATTCTCCGGAGAAAATTAAAGTTTGGGAAAATTATAAAAAATACCCCTCTATAATATGCCAATTATCAATGTCACCCCTGAATTATGAGCGGTGTAAATGTTGCCCCTCAATTGTCAAAATGGTGCACATATAGCCCCTCCCGTAACGGATCTGTGGTTCCCCACCGATGTCCATCGCTGGTACTTCGATCGAGGGAGGGAAAAAACAACTAAATTACATATTTACTCCGACTTAACGGTGTCGTACACTAACGGAAAACCACATGTCCGTTACGGGAGGGGTTATATGTGTACCGTTTTGATAATTGAGGGGCAACATTTACACCACTCATAATTCAGGGGTGACATTGATAATTGACATATTATAGAGGGGCATTTTTTACAATTTTTCCTTAAAGTTTTGCTCTGGACAAACTGCTCTGCCCACGCACTAGTAGTGTGGCGCTCCAGTTGTTATATTATAGACCGCGGTGCATAATCGATTATGCACCGCGGCCCATATACGGCGCCGTTTCTTTAAGTAAAGAAACGGCCCGCCGTTAGAGTTAACGGAGTCCGTTTGTTTGGTGTATTAAACACCAATTGACACTACAGTATATCCAAACCGACAGTGCAGTTATATCAAAATGATACTGTAGTTATAGTGAAATGAAACTGCAGTGTATATAAACTGAAACTGAATAACATTTCACATATTTGAGTGTATATTGTACAATGAAGCTGTAATTATATCAAAATGATCATGTAGTTGTGTTTTAATAAAACTATAGTGTATATAAAATAAAATTAAATAACATTTTCACATATTTGAGTCTATAAATATCGAATGAAACTATAGTTATATCGAAATGAAACTGTAGTTGTATTCAACTGAAACTGCAGTGTATACAAAATGACACTGAATAACAGAGTTAATTTTTGCAAAAGGGTGCGAAACGGCGGAAATAAACACTGTTAATTTTCATTTTAAAAAAAGACGCGCGGTGCATAATCGATTATGCACCACGGTGCATAATATAATTTGCCGTGGCGCTCATGCGCCATAATTCACTCTGCTTTATATTATAAAAAAAAAAAACAAACAAAAAAAAAAAGGCTGCATCCTCATGGCTGTGAGGCTGATGTTTGTTACAATTTTTTTTTAATAATTATATTTTTAAGATTTTATTTTGAATTTTATTTTTATATTTTGATTTTAATTAATTTTTAATTGCATTAATTGTTGTTATATTTAGTATTTAAAATTTTGTATGTTACGAAATGTTAATTTTTTTAGTAGACGATTTTAAATATGAATTTTAATTTATGAAATTATATTTTGATTAGTTAATAAAATTATATTATATTTTTTGAGTACTCCTGACATGAAATTATATTATATAATTCATAGCATTTTTAATTTTTAATTTTATAATTATTTCTTTATTTTTATTTAAAATCAAAATTTTAAATTATTAATTATAGAAAAATGAATAAAATAATATATATATATATATATATATATATATATATATATATATATATATATAATGGTAGTACAAGCCAAAGCAAGAACACAATTCAAATTAATCCCCTTTAACCCCCTGTTATCTAAAATATAAAATAAAATTTAATAAGAGCCACTGATGTTAGTCTTTAATTTGAATGACGAAAATTATATTAGTATTATAAGTATTAAGTGTTTTTTCTTTGAGTTATTTGTATTGTTCATTTGCACTGTCTTTCCAATTCACTATTACATAAATAACATATAACATCGGTTTTTTGTCAAACAGACATAAAAAAAAATATTATAATTTTTTTTAAAGAACACTTTAATGTCGATTTTTATTTTTAAACCAACATAACATAGTATATCACAAATAAAAAATAAAAAAGGATATTATATAAAACGTCAGTTTTACAAGAAAACCATCGTCAGATGTGTTGTGATCTTTTTAAAATTAAAACAAAATACGACAAAAACCGATGTCGTTACGCAAAAATTATAAACGGATTAAAATGATGGTGTTTCATTTATTTACTAATTTTAAAAATTTATATTCCATAATATACGACATCGGTATATAAAACCAACTTTATATATTTGGTCCACTGATACGCAGTTGCTCCCCTATGTGGGAGGTGGATGATTTGAGCCTTCATGTAGGCGATTATAGTGTCATTTGATGTAATAGGTTGTATATGTGGGTATCCCCTTCCTTTATAAATAAATTTTTTTAAATATATTTAATGATTAAAAAATAATAATAACATATACGACTTTTGGTTTTTAATACGATGTTGGTTTTAGAAAAAAATCGATGTCATATATCACATAATATAAAAAAAAAATTATAAAAGAGTATAATATATGACGTCGGTATATATTATACTAGGACTATGTGGTCTAATGGAACCCGGGTTGGACTTTCATTTAGAAGGTTGTGATTTTGAGTCTCAGTGAAGGCGTTATTCAATGTAATAGAGCCAGTAATATTCAAAAAATATTAAAGTGTTTTTAATTTTTTATTTGTGATATACGACGTTGGTTTTTTTTTTTTTTTTTTAAACCACCAATATTAAAGTGTTTTTAATTTTTTATTTGTGATATACGACGTTGGTTTTTTTTTTTTTTTTTAAACCACCAATATTAAAGTGTTTTTTTTTTAAATTATAAATTTATTTATCATTTTGACATCGATTTGACCAAAAATCGACGTTGTGTGATGTTATATGTTATTTCTATTGTAGTGATTGTATTTGTTCGTGACTATGGAAAATTGAATATTATATTGACAGGTGAAATACCAAGAGAGTTGGACAACCTTGATAAGCTACAGTTCCTTGACTTGGCTAATAATGGATTAAGTGGTTCTATTCCGCAGGGAATCTTCAATATTTCAACACTTGAAGCACTATCATTGGCATTTAATAAATTTTCAGGTACTCTTCCAACATCTTTAGGTTATTGGCTTCCCAATTTAGAAGAACTATACCTGGACGTAAACTATCTTAGCGGAGTTATACCTCCCCATATCTCAAATGCTTCCAACCTTGTTCTTCTTGAACTTAGCACGAACCAATTCACAGGCTTCATTCCCAATTCCCTTGGAAACTTAGCACAACTCCAAAATCTAAAACTGTTTGAGAACAATCTAACAACTGATCCTCAATTTAGCCTTATCACTTCATTGGCAAACTGTAGATACATCCAAACCTTAGCATTGTCATATAACCCTTTAAACGCTGTGCTCCCAAATGCAATCGGCAACCTCTCCCACACTCTCCAAATTCTCCACCTAGTAAATTGTAACATCAGGGGACGAATTCCACAGGAGATTGGCAATCTGAGTAGCTTATACAAGTTGATTTTAGAGTCCAATGACATTATAGGATTTTTGCCTACAACCATTCAGGCTCTTCGGAGTCTCCAGGCATTTGGCATACAAGAGAACAGATTAATAGGAGCATTTCCAGATGTGATCTGTGAACTACAGAATTTGTTTTGGATAACTTTAGGAAAAAATAATTTTTCTGGTCCAATCTTGGATTGTTTAAGGAACATTTCTTCCTTGAGAGAGATCTATCTGAATGAAAACGAATTCACTGCCTTCCCAACTAGTCTATGGAGCATTCAAAATCTTTTGAAGCTCAACTTGAGTTCGAATAACTTGAGCGGTTCTCTACCTCAAGAAATCGGGAATGCAAAGATGGCAATACTTATTGATCTCTCAAATAACATACTATCCGGAGATATTCCAAGTAGTATTGGAGGCTTGACAATGTTAAACAATTTTTCTGTGGCACATAACAAAATCCAGGGTTCTATTCCTGACACATTTGGCAAACTCCTGGATCTATATTCATTGGATCTTTCTGATAACAAAATATTCGGAATGATTCCCAAGTCATTAGAGGGACTTGTCAGCATGAAGTATTTCAATGTTTCATACAACAGATTAACCGGAGAAATTCCGAGTGGAGGTCCTTTTGCCAACTTCACTTATGAATCATTCTTGTCAAATGTTGGTCTATGTGGTTCTCCTCGAATGCATATTCCACCTTGCCCTGCCAATTATCTACGTTCATCGAAGAAGAACAGAGTGGTTATGTTTGTACTCATTTCGTTGGCAGTTCTTATAGTGCTAGTTGTCTCTGTTATTGTATACTTGATTTTCAAGAGGCGCAAGAAGGTGCTTCTCAAGGAACCTGACTTCTTGTCGGCAGTAACACCAGCAAGATTTTCATACAATGAACTCCAACGGGCAACCAATGGATTTGATGACAGCAATTTGCTAGGTAGCGGGAGTTTTGGTTCTGTTTATAAAGGGACTCTAACAAATGGGATGCATGTGGCTACCAAGGTTTTTCGTTTGCTACATGATGGTGAAAATAAGAGTTTTGATACCGAATGTGAAGTTTTGCGCAACATTCGTCATAGAAATCTCACAAAGGTTCTTGGCAGTTGCTCCAACTTGGATTTTAAAGCATTGGTGCTCGAGTACATGCCTAATGGGAGTCTACACAAGTGGTTATATTCTCACAATTATTTTTTGAATATAATACAAAGATTGAGTATAATGATAGATGTGGCATCTGCGTTGGAATATCTCCACTTTGGTTACTCTGAGCCGGTTATTCATTGTGACTTGAAGCCCAACAATGTGCTTATAGATTCAGACATGGTGGGGCATTTGAGTGACTTTGGTGCTGCAAAGCTCTTAGGAGATGAGAACTCCATGGCCTTTACAAATTCCCTCGCGACAATTGGTTACATTGCTCCAGGTATACGTTTCATTTTATTTAACTTTCTGGATTTGGTTTTAGAATGTTTCACATAATAGTTTGCATTTCTAATGGGTTCTATTCAAATTTTGCATTGGTTTAAGAGTATGGACGAGAGGGTCTTGTGTCTACTCGCAGCGATATGTACAGTTATGGTATCATGTTGATTGAAGTTTTTACAAGGACACAACCTGGAGATGAAATGTTCAATGAAGATTCAAGTCTAAGGAGTTGGGTGCAGAATGCATTTCCAACGGAAATAGGTCATGTTATAGATCCCAACTTACTTGGACTAGATGAGGAAAAGTACGATGAAAAGTTACAGTGTGTTATAGCTATCTTTGAGCTGGGCATGAAATGTTCAACAGACTCCCCAAGAGAAAGGATGGTCATCAAAGATGCATTACCAGCACTGGAAAAGATCAAAGTCAAACTCCTTTCGCTATATGCAAGAACTTAAAAGTAGTATGCATAGCATATACGTACTATTTGAAGTTTATGTATAATTTTATGTACTGTTAAAAGAATCATAATTCTGAATTTGTGACTTGTGTATCCAACTGATCCTATTTCACTAACTTCTTGATGGCGCGGCTCTTGCATTCTTATAATGATCACTAACAAAAAAGGTATATATTCAAATCGTTCATAAATATGAGTTTAATAGCTCATAAACCACAACAAAAAAAATAAATCGCACTAAGAATTAAACTTGTGACATTAAGTACAAGAACCATATTCCATATGCTCGAGTACTCATTTTGCGGCAAAGAATTTATTTTTTAATGAATAGATATAATGTGGGAAAGTCAATTGAATAATCATATTGTTGAGGTTATTTTTCTTGATTTATTGGCCAAACCAATAATATTCACACACTATTTGAGTGTTTTCAAAATAATAATAATAATAATATCAACACACTTAGCTTCCAAGAAGGGGTAAAGACTAACATCACTAGTCAAGATTTATATCTATGAATTAGACCAACTGATCAGGGGTCATGAAAATATAAGATAAAATAGATAGATAGTTATTTTAAAGGATAGAAAAGATGATTCTAAGTTCACAAGGAGTCGAAAAACTGAGAGTTAGTTAGAAAACACTCTGTATCTAGTGCTTTTCCCTCAGCCTTTTGCGATCGGATGACGGCGGCACCGGGGTCCGCCGTGCCCCGGCCCCTCCGTGCACCTTTGCGGATATCCTTTCGAACACCACCTCTTCGCCTCCTATTCGCCCTCCGGGGAGATACAAAGGAATGCCTTCCGTTTCTTTCTCGGATGAAGATGTTCATCTCTTTTCACAAAAGTTCAAATTCACGATCGTTGGTAAATTTGCGAAAAGTAGGCCGCCAATGACCGATCTCAGGAAAGCCTTCGATCAAATAGGTTGAAAGTTGATTAATTAATCATTACTCCACTTTTTATTTATAATAATTGAAAGTTGAAGTCCACTTTTTGAACTGATTTCACACTGATTAAGTGAGTTAGTGCATATGATAGCATTGTAGTTTTATACACACACATCTAGTATCATTTTGTAATGCATCATAATTAACATATATATACACTATATATGATCTGACTCATGTTTTATTTTTGTATGTATAATGTATGTTCATGCATCAGGCTACTAGACTAATGTGAAACCTTTGAAAATGATCTGATTTAATGGTTTTCTATAATAATTTTAAATACATATACACTATATATGATCTAACTCATGTTTTAATTTTGTAGGAATAATACCAGAAACAATATTTATTAACAGAGAAGGAGGGATGACGCTACTTTTAAAATAATTAAGGAGATCTGATAAATGTAAATACAAGAATAATTCAAAGAAAAAAAAGTTCTATATATTAGCATATAATTCACGAAAAACAAATATTATTTTCCCTTATTATTAATTGTTTTTGGTCTCTCTCCAATTTTTCCAACTAATTTCTATTTGTAATAAAGCTAGTAGTGTTCAAAAAATAAAAATAAATTGAGAAGTCTTGCAACCTTTTGCTTTCTTTGCATCAAATTAATTCCCACCATATATATACAAATCATTAAATTAGTAGCTAGGAATAAAATTTGAGCACACCCTAATTGACTATTCTAAGAGGAATACCGCTATCACTCGGACTTGCGTGAACTTTACTCCTATTGCTTTCATGAAAAAATAAAAAAATCTATTATCTTAAGTAAGCCATAGCCAAGATCAAATCAAAAGAATAAATAAATTGGATATTGTGACTAAATAACATATTCCTTGCCTGCCCCAGTTGTTAAATTTGTTATTGTCTATCCTAATTGTTATTTTTTTATTTGTGACCCTTGAGACTACTTTGTCCACAAAATATGAATTATTCGGCGGGTAAAGCACGTCCAAACATCTAAAAATATAATAGCCATATATATATGTATTGCGTTTGGGACGGAGAATAGTCCCTTGCACAACTCTCAGGACGGAGGTCTAAGGTCTTTGTCGTCCAACGAAGACTTTGCCTTGGTCTTTGTCTTGAGGTCTAGTGGCCTTCCTTTAGATTAATGTAAAATTTAAAATGGTAGTTAAATTAAAGACAAATAATATGTCTCATTCTGGTTTCAGACTCTATCTTGCTCCAAGGGTCACGCCACTTTTGTAAAACTCATTGTCAACTTAACGAACAAGCTTTCGATAATTGTTCGTGTTTATCACAAACATGCTTGTTTAATTTTCGTTTAAGGTGCTTCACGAACAAGCTCATTTAAGTGTAATTTATTTAATTTTATTTTTAAGAGCGTATTTTTTAAAACTTTAATTATATTTTTCCTACCAATCATACCGTCTTACCAATTCAATTATGAATTATCTTCTTCTCAGTTCTCATTCAGTTTAAGTTTTGAAATTGGATTTGAAGGTATTAAGTTTTGTGGGATGCGGAATCTAAATTTCTTATGCTTTAATGTTTTTGGCTTGTAATGTGAACAAAGAATGTGTGTGTGTGTTTTTTTTTTTTTTTTTTTTTTGAACTTGGTATTTTGAATTTGATATTAGATGTTAATTTTGGACTTATTTGTATTATTTTTATAGTCATTATGTTGTTTGTGTTAGGGATATAATACTACGTAAAAATATTAGTCCCGAAAATAACAAGCACATACAAGAACTAAAGAATAAGAATTAGTTTGAGTCGTGTGAAACGTAGTATACCTTTCTTAAAACCTTATTTGCTACATTTTTTTTGGTGCTACGAGCGTTATAACTTAGATTTCCTAGGATAAAATGACTCTATGCATAATAGAAAATTATTAAATTTTAACAAACAAGTATTACAAGGACTCACAATACTTACATTTAAATGATACATTTATGGTGCCTATATTATACAGGGACTGTTGTGGTTCAATAACCAGACAGATCGACTACAAGATACTAGCTAGCTTTGTATGTCAACAGGCCAATATATAGAAATTAAAGTATCTGACTTTAATTTTAAGCTTGTTGTATGTTGAAGAAAATATTAATCAATTAATATTAAGCCTCTGAGTGTACGTGGTTATTGGTGTGTTTCCAGGTAACTGATCCAATTTCTGGGGCTAATAATAAAGTCCCTGCCATAGACTTCCATGCATGCCTTTCAAGCTGATCGATATACAAATTAAATTAATTAAAATTAAAGGAGATGAGCTCTATTAGTCTAATGCATGCTAGAGCTGATTAATTATGAACAGCGTAGCAATGAATTAAGGAGAATTGATATTTTGTATTTGTGCATGCATACAGCCAATAGTGGGGTCGTCAACTTAAGATCAGAGCTGAGTGAAGACCCGTAGGATACGAAAGTATGAATTGAAGTCATATATTATTGTAATAATGCATTTTCGTTAAGATAAATGATACATAATAAATTGAAGTCCACTCGTTGAGTAGATTTGGTGCCGTGCAAGTAGTATTTATTCATGGAAACCTTAGCCTGTATGTATCAATTCTCATATATGCATACTAACATGGAGATCACAAACCTATCTTCTCTACTCTTCTTGTTCATTTTAGCAATGCCTTTCATACCCAGCGCCCAACCCACCAACATCACCACAGATCAATCCTCTCTTCTTTCTTTGAAATCCTACACCACCTTAAGTCCCAACCATACATTGGCAAATAACTGGTCAATCACTGCTTCTATTTGCAACTGGATTGGAGTTGTTTGCGGATCCAAACACCACAGAGTGGTCGCATTAGACATATCAAATATGGGTATTGTGGGTACCCTTCCTCCACAATTAGGCAATCTCTCATTTCTTGTTTCTCTTAACATAAGTCACAACAATTTCTATGGAAATTTGCCTAGAGAGTTAGTTAGCCTACGTCGGCTACAGTACATAGATTTTGGTTATAATAATTTTAGTGGAAAAATTCCAGAGGAGATTGGCAATCTTGAGAATGCAAAATGGCTGATATTAGAAGTTAACCAACTTGATGGTCCTATCCCCTTCACCATCTTCAACATTTCCACATTGCAAAATGTGGTCCTCAACAACAATAGCTTATCTAGCTCTCTTCCCATGAAGCTATGTCAACATGCTACCAGACTCAAAGTACTTCGCTTGTCTTTCAACAAGTTGAATGGTGAAATTCCAAAGAATTTATCAGGTTGCTCAGAACTTGAACAATTGCGGTTGACATACAACAATTTTGTCGGGACAATTCCGAGAGAGATTGGGAGCTTAAATATGGTTCAGATTTTAAGTCTTGGCAGTAACAAGTTAGAAGGTATGTTCTTTGATGTCTTTGGTTATTAAAGTAACCTTCTTGAACAAGAAGGTACGTTCTTGTACGTCTTTGGTAGTGTGAAACCATTGGAAATGATAGATTTAATGGTATTCCATAATAATTCTAAAAACATATATACCATACAGTACTTATGTTTTAATTTTGTTGGAATAATACTCGAAATAATTTTAATAGTCGTCTTTAATTTGGTAAATAAAGATTATAATGTAAATCTAGGAATAGACTCCCTCCATCATAACAACTACATATAGATATTGCATTTGCTCATGACATAGTTTGGGTAACTTGAATTCGCAGGTGAAATACCTAGAGAGATTGGGAGCTTGAATATGCTTCAGATTTTAAGACTCGATAATAACAACTTGAAAGGTATGTATGTAATTCGCTACTAGATCAACATAATGAGTCGTTACTAAGATAACTTGAGAATTTAACAATGCTAAACGATCTTAAACTTGCTAGGAATTCATTGTCACGTATGAACAATAGATCTCTTCTTTTTAATTGTCTTCCACCCTTAACACGTACAATTTCTTAATTCAGGGGCAAAATTAAAATAAAAAACTATTATAATGCAAATCTAGAAATAGACTCAATAATCATGACAATTACATAAGGATATTGTATTTCTTCATGATTTAGCTTGGGTAACTTGAATTGGTAGGTGAAATACCAAGAGAGATTGGGAACTTGAATATGCTTCAGATTTTAAGACTCAGTCATAACAATTTGGAAGGTATGTATATGAGCCTGCATTTGGCTAGTAGAACATTTGAAAACCAACAAATTTAATGATTTTGTGTAATAATTCTAATAAATAAGTATATAGTATACATAACTCGTGTTTTGCTTTTATTTTGTAGGAACAATACCAGAAACAATATTTAACATTTCTACACTAACTTATATAAGCATGGCAAACAACAGTCTATTTGGTATTCTCCCATTGAACATGTGTTCACGTTTTCACAAGCTTGAAGAGCTTTACTTGTATAAGAACAAGCTATATGGCAACATTCCAAGGAGCATAGGTGAATGCTCATCACTTGAATACCTTTATATGTGGGATAATCAATTAAATGGGTTGTTGCCAAGAGAGATTGGAAATTTGACAATGCTAAACGATCTTGAACTTACTAAGAATTCATTGTCAGGTATAAAGGATAGATATATCTTCTTTTAAATTGTCTTACACTCTCAAAAAGTATAATTTTTTTTATTGAGCTACAAAATAAAATAAAGTTATTATAATGCAAATCTAGAAATAGACTCAATAATCATGACAACTACATAAGGATATTGTATTTGTTCATGATTGAATTGGCAGGTGAAATACCAAGAGAGATTGGGAACTTGAATATGCTTCAGATTTTAAGACTTGAGAAAAACAAGTTAGAAGGTATGTATATGTACTTGTGTTTGGCTGCGGTACTAGAAAAGTTTAACGATTTTCTGTAATAATTATATTCTAAATACATATACACTTAGTGGAGGCGTTATTAGCTCTCTATTGAGAAAGTAGTTATGAACATATATTGCATTGTAATAGAGTTAATAACATTAAAAAAAAAAAAAAAATTACATATACACTATATATGACTCATGTTTTAATTTTGTAGGAATAATACCTGAAACAATATTTAACATTTCTACACTAACTTCTATAAACATGGGAAACAACAATCTGTCTGGTACTCTCCCAACAAACATGTGTTCACATTTTCAAAATCTTGAAGAACTTTACTTGTATATGAACAAGCTACGAGGAAACATTCCAAGAAGCATAGGTGAATGCTCTTCACTTAAATACCTCATAATGTGGGAGAATTCCTTGTCAGGTATGGACAGTATAGCTCTTCTTTTTAGTTTTATGTCTTGCAATCTCAACACATTCATTTCTTATTGAACTATAAAATGAAAGAAAGATATTATAATGTGAATCTGAGATTCGACTCGAACATGTCAACTACATATGGATATTGTATTTGTTTGTGCCTTGGGTCACTTAACTTGAATATTATATTATTTTGACAGGTGAAATACCAAGAGAGTTGGCAAACCTTGATAAACTAGAGAAGCTTGAGTTGCAGAATAATGGATTAAGTGGTTCTATTCCGTGGGGAATCTTCAATATTTCAACTCTTGAAGTACTGGAACTGTCATTTAATGAGTTTTCAGGTACTCTTCCAACATCTTTAGGTTATTGGCTTCCCAATTTAAAAGAATTGTATCTTTGCGATACCAATATTGGAGGAGTTATACCTCCCCAAATCTCAAATGCTTCCAACCTTGCTGTTATTGAACTTGGCGAGAACCAATTCACAGGCTTCATTCCGAACTCCCTTGGAAACTTAGCACAACTCAAATATCTACGTCTGACTAAGAACAATCTAACAACTGATCCTCAATTTAGCCTTATGACTTCATTGGCAAACTGTAGATACATCCAAATCTTATCATTGTCGTTTAACCCTTTAAACACTGTCCTCCCAAATGCAATCGGCAACCTCTCCACCGCTCTTCAAATTTTTGGCGTGGCAAATTGTAACATTAGGGGACAAATTCCACAGGAGATTGGCAATCTAAGCAGCTTATACAAGTTGAATCTATGGTCCAATGACATTATAGGATTTTTGCCTACAACCATTCAGGCTCTTCAGAGTCTTCAGGATTTCAGCATATCAGACAACAGATTAATAGGATCATTTCCAGATGTGATATTTGAACTACGGAATCTGTTTTTGATAGATTTAGGCAGAAATAAATTTTCAGGTCCAATCTCAAATTGTTTAAAGAATATTTCTTCCCTGAGAGAGATCTATATGAATGAAAACGAATTCACTTCCTTCCCTACTAGTCTATGGAGCATTGAAAATCTTTTGATGCTCGACTTGCATTCCAATAACTTAAGCGGTTCTCTACCTCGAGAAATTGGGAATGCAAAGACCGCAATACTTATTGATCTGTCACATAACAAACTATCCGGACACATTCCCAGTGGTATTGGAGGTTTGACAGAGTTGATGAATTTTTCTGTGGCTCATAACAAAATCCAGGGTAATATTCCTGACACATTTGCCAAACTCATGGATCTACATTCATTGGATCTTTCCGATAATGAAATCTCCGGAATGATTCCTAAGTCATTGGAGGGACTTATAAGTATGAACTATTTCAATGTTTCGTACAACAAATTAAGCGGGGAAATTCCAAGTGGAGGCCCTTTTGCCAACTTCACTTATGAATCATTCTTGGGGAATGATGGTCTATGTAGTGGTACTCCTCGGATGCATGTCCCACCTTGCCCTGCCCATCAATCAAACAAGAACAGAGTGGTTCTTATTGTACTTGTCTCGTTGGCAGTTCTTATAGTGCTAATTGCCTTTGTTTCTGTGCTATGCATCTTCAAGAGGCACAGCCGGGGAGAGGTTCCAGAAGAACCAAACTTTCTGTCAGCAACAACTACAGCAAGATATTCGTACTATGAACTCCAACGGGCAACAAATGGGTTTGATGAAAGCAACTTGCTAGGTAGTGGAAGCTTCGGATAGTTTATAAAGGGATTTTAACAAATGGGATGCACGTAGCTGTCAAGGTTTTTCGTTTGGAACATGAAGGTTCACATAGGAGTTTCGACAGCGAATGTGAGGTTTTACGCAACATTCGTCACAGAAATCTCACAAAGGTCCTTGGCAGTTGCTCCAACTTGGATTTTAAAGCATTGGTGCTACAGTACATGCCCAACGGGTGTTTACACAAGTGGTTATATTCTCACAATTATTACTTGAATATGATACAAAGAGTGAGTATAATGATTGATGTGGCTTCGGCCTTGGAATATCTTCACAATGGTTACTCCAAGCCTATTATCCATTGCGACTTGAAACCCAACAATGTCTTAATAGATGCTGATATGGTGGGACATCTGAGTGATTTTGGTGTTGCAAAGCTCTTAGAAGATGGGAATTCTATTGACATTACAAACACCCTAGCAACACTTGGTTACATTGCTCCAGGTAAATTTTTTTCATTTTTTCTTTTTTCACTTTTTGGATTTGGTTTTAACACATAACATTATGCAATTCTTATGGTATCCTATTTAATTTTGCACTGCTTCTAGAGTATGGACAAGAAGGACTTGTGTCCACGCGTAGTGATATGTACAGTTATGGTATCATGATGCTTGAAGTTTTCACAAGGATTCAACCTGCAGATGAAATGTTCAACGAAGATTTAAGTCTAAGAAGTTGGGTGCACAATGCATTTCCTACAAATATAAGTCAGATTATAGACCCAAACTTACTTAAACCGGATGAAGAAAGGTACGATGAAAAATTGCAATGTGCATTGGCTATCTTTGAGGTAGGCTTGAAATGCTCAGCAGAATCCCCTCGAGAGAGGATGGCCATCAATGATGTGTTACCAGCATTGGAAAAGATCAAAGTTAAACTTGTTTCGCTGTATGCGAGAACTTGAAGTAGTATGCATAGCATATCATATTGTATACCTATTTCTTTAAAATGCAAATAAAATGTGACAGTTGCTATTGTAGCTTTCTGCATATTTATACACCTAATTTTATTTGCCTCTTATAATTAAGCTCTCTTTCTAGTTTGTGTTGCACCAAGAGTATACCAAAAAGTAAAAAAAAAAATGTTTGGTAAATTAGTTGGTGGATAGTCATTAGCTGATTGGGTCAGTGAGTTTGATTGGTTGATAGTATTGGCTGATTGTAGAAAAATGTTTGGTAAATTAGTTGTTAGCTTATAGTTTATTATATTTAAAATTACTTTCTCATAAAAACTAATCGAAAAAATTACGTTTTTTGAATTTTAGCCTTTTGGAGCAACAAGCGGTAGAGAAAGCTAATTAGCCTAACACTTATATTGGTTGTTTAGTCAAGTCAAACAACTAATAGTGTGATCAAACAAGCCAAAATTAGTAACTATTTTACCAAACAGGGCCAATTATGTCATTAACCGTCGGTTAATGGAAAGACAAGAGCGTTTTGCTAGCCAGAGCTCAAAGCAGGTTGTTGCCTTGGTTCCTCCAAGAGTCCAAGGTGATCTAGCTTGGCTGGAGATGGGAGTGGGCAGTGAAGATGGTAAAATAGGGAGCAGATATTAATATTTTTAGTCTTTGTTCTGTTGTTTCTTTTATTGGGAATTAACAATTAACAATAATGTTTGGGTATTCTAGTTTAGTAGTTTTGTTTTATTATCATTAGCGGCCACCTAGTTTTGGTGTATCCCCATCAACAAGACAATTTGGACAATAATGCCAAACTAAAATAATTTGGAGTAGATAAGGATAGATTCCTTTGGAGTATTAGTCTATTTATCTTCACCCACAGCAAAAACCAGGTTTCCTAATGGTAATGGTTATTGAACACGGTTCGCATGTACAATTCAATTGGTACCTAATATTAGATTAAATATAGTAAATTAAAGGTAAAGATTTAATATGAAGTCTTAATAAAGAATTTTACTTAATGTGGTGGACTACTTGTGGACCTAGACACAAATCTTTTGAGGGTGAGGATTGTTAGCAGAATATAATAGTATCGAAAAATATTGTTCAAGCTCAACCACCCTTTAAAAGGGTATTGCATATATAGTAGTACAAAACTATTTATTCATTTGGAGCGTACAATTTATCTATCTCTTTGTCTCGCTATGAAAAACTTGAATCCACCTTATCCCGATCTAAATTAAGTGAAAACTACGTATATTTATACCGCAATTTAAAATTTCATTTTATGTTATTTTGTCTTACCAGGATTGTCTAAAACGCGTGGACCGACAATAACGTAAATAATCACCTACTATGTAGGTGTTGCGGAGAGCGGCGAATGGCGATGACTTTACGTTTATTTGCTCAAAGTGTGCACGAAAACTTTCGTTTTCTTTAATGTTAATCTATACAATACTGTTACACAAAAACCAAAGGGCAGAGAAACAGAGAGAGTGAGTCAACCTGACCCATATAGAGTCGTCGTCTTCGTTGCGTGTACGTAATGGATCTTGATTGGCAAGCCATCGCCTTGAATTCCAAGTAAATGTTGAATAATGTGTCTGCACAGATATTGGTTTTAGTCTTTGTTACCTTATCCCGGCGGCGTGATAAGGAACACACACTGACTAAGCTACATACCCATGGATCAAGAATCCGGCGACAAGATGGAAGAAGCTGATCGGAAACTGACTTCTCCGGCGGGTGGTCAAACGGTGGCAGAAACAGTAATCGTGATAGAACCGGATAATGAAAACGATGAGAGTTGTGTGGCGGCGAAAGCGAAGGGCCGCCTGAAAGAAGACGGGTTTTCGTGTTGTATTGATGTACAGACGGAGGGGCAAAGGGTGTGCAGAATATGCCACTTGAACGCAAAAGAAGATGAGGCCAAAACTAAGGATTTGATTGAGCTTGGTTGCGGCTGTAAAGGGGAGCTCGGATTCTCCCATTTGCGATGTGCAGAGGCATGGTTTAAGCTCAAAGGAAACAGGTAATTACAACTAGTGTTCGGTGTCAACAAGAACCACTTTCGGACCACCTGAAAGTGATCTTAAATCAAGTCGAAAACATTGTTCCGACCACTTTTGGTATCCGGAAAAACCATTGTTGCTATTTCCGACCACATTTTGCTTTCAACTTGATTTAAACCCACAATATTTTAAGTGTAACTCTCACACTACGACTAATAAGCTCGATCATGTATCATTACTTACAATTTACAATTAGTGTCTAGTGTCATCAAGAGCCCACAATATTTTAGGTGTAATCTCACAATGCGACTAATAGGCTCCATTATGTGTCATTATTTACAATTTATCATTCATGAATCAACTGAGCTAAAGTGCGGGCTAAGTGATTACATTCTTGATTATCTGTTCTATATATGTACATTCTCTTGGTGACTCTTCCAACACTTTTGTTTGCAGATTCTGCGAAATATGTGGGGAAACTGCAAGAAATGTTACAGGCGCAGGGAGCAGAAGTTTCATGGAAGAGTGGAGTGATGGAAGACCCTCCTCCGGCCACAGTGGCAGCTCCGGCGAAAGTGGTAGCAGATGTTGCCTGGAACGGCAGCCGCTCTGTAATTTCTTGATGGGATGCCTGGTTATAGCATTTGTTCTTCCATGGTTCTTTCGTGTAAACTTGTAAAAACACATTAAATTATTTGTTCCCAATGTCACATCATCTGTTATAAAACCAAAGTTCCTTGTGTTAATGAGAAGTGGACGTAATCACATGGGATTTGCTTGGAATTATATTAGAGATATAATTCAACAAGAGAAATTTGTAAGTATCTGATGGTGTGTATAGTGTTTATTATATTTCGGATTAAATAATTTTTAGGGTGGGTAGGTTGTTAAGCAGAAAAATAATTTTTTCGTCGAGGCTTCGGGTGTGTGAAAAATTGAATTATATTGAGGCTGATATAAGGTTATTTACATTTGATGATCTATACATGGTTAGGTATGCTTTTGTATCATGTGTGTTTAATTAAGGAGACAAGCTTCCACGCTTTGTTCCTTAAATTGGGCCATTGCCCTTTTGAGATATGACATTGAAATTCTATTTTTACACCATGTGTACAATCAATTATCACACATTTGGTTGCCAAATTTAATATCCTTTTAATTTTGTATCATTCAACTAACATATATCCCTTCTCCAAAAAAAAAGAGTAACAAATATCCCATCACTTGTTAGTTACGAATGGCATACTATAAGACAACGATTTCAATCAATTCAATAGTGCTTTAATTTCAAAAAATCAATTTAAAATAGTGATTGATTGATTGAAGTCATGTATCAAATAGTGCTTTCAAAAAAAATCAATTTAATAGTGATTGATTGATTGAAGACATGTATTGTGAGTTGTGACTAGTGAAAATAAGAATAATATTGATTGAAGAAATCTATTAAACTTATAATCTTTCATATGATAGAACAATTTGATGTCACTGTACCACAAAGTCCTTGACAGCAATAATGGTTTTAATAGTGAGAAAATTGTATCGTCTAGGCTTGGATGAAATTGGGTGGGTAGTGAAGGATTAAGTAGGTGGCCAAGTGATGGGCAGGGGTATCAATGCTAGCCAATTAAACTTTTTGCAAGCCAAGGCTAAATTTAAAAAGTATCAAAAAAAAAAAAATTGTACTGACATTTAAAAATGCATTCTAATTTTACAAGTTTTGGCCACCTTGACAATCTTAGATGGTGTCCATAAATTCATACAATAATTATCAACTCGCACGGATCATTTTGTTTTTTAAAGTTATCACATTCTACCACAAAATAATCCAAGATAAATTTGTAAATTTTGGCCTAACTCGACATCCCTAAATAGTGCTCATGAATTCATACATTATGTTTTTGCATTTTGAAAAGCCACCTAACTCACTCTCAACCAATTAACATTTGGGATGTTAGGTGGAAGATATCTTGCTAGTGGATCAAATAGTATGTCTCAATACTATTTTCTATTTTTGTTTTATAAATTTTTTCAAAAAAATAAAATAGAAAAACATTGCAATTATCGAACATTTCAATGTTGTGTCATCCGAATAAATGAAATTCAATTCTCTATAATTTATAAGCAAATTTTTTTTTTTTTTACCTAAATACCAAAAAAGATATACACTAAAAACTTGTTATTTTGTGTCAAAAGTGTATCCATCTCAATTGAAAAAGGGCATGAAAAATTTGAAATTTTTGTATCACAAGTTTGAACTCCAAAGTCAAGTGTAATACTTATGTCCCAGAGATTAGTAAAAATGGTAAAACGCGAGTACTAATAATTTAATTACTTTTTGAGGAAATCAACACTGTGATCCTTTAATTGTTTATTAACTGTCAATGTTATCTCTATTTTTCAATTTTGACTAATATGATTTTCGAATTGTTTAAAATTTTGTCAATTAAACCCTTTCTGGAACTAAATTGACGAAATTTTAAAAATGTGGAAATTACCATTTTGGACCCGAAAATAGTTTAATTGACAAAATTTTAAACAATTCGAGAATCAAATTGGTTAAAATTGAAAACTATGGACTACATTGACAGTTGAAAAACAATTGAGGAACCAAAATGGTGAATAACTCTTACTTTTTCATTAATTAACTATTAGATAAAGAGACGGAGATAAACAATAACAAACATGATAATGATTTATTGGTCTGAAATAATAAAATTACAATGAATAAAAACAAACAAGCATAAGTGGTTAGTACATATGAAAATTGAGTTACAAAGAATAAAAACAAACAAGTATCTATCCTTCACAATCATGGAGAAAGTTGCAGGAGACAAGATGATGGGAAGATGTAATGTACTAATGTACATCCTTGTTTCATACCTAGAATCCACTGTACATAGAAATTGGAAATTACTGTGTGTGATTGTTGTCACACTGTAACAGGGTGTCCCCATTCCCACAACTTGTTACACCCTACATGTTTCCATCTTGGGTTTGCACGTGCAGAAACTTTCATCATGACTTATCAAAAATGCGACTAGCTACCTTATACCAATTATTATTTTGGTTGGTGCGTCTCCACTTGCCGGCAAAGTTTATCACGACAACCAATCAAGTAATTACACATTTTATTTCGGATTTTCATCTTAGCTTTTTAATCATATGATATGATAACTGATAAGTGCTACCTGATACAATGGTTTATCAAGAAGATGATAAATCTTTATGTCTCGATCTCAGGACTCGATTTATCCAGCATAATGTAAAAATTTCTGATTTGACTTGTGTCTTTGACTTTAGCCTAAATGACTTTATCTTTTGTCGCCGGTATTAGTCATATTTTAGGAGTTTAAAAAAAAAAAAAAAAACTGAATGAGGGATTCAGTATCGGTCATTAATATTTTTTTAAAAAAAGCTCTAATCTATAAATATATATATAACTAATTAAATAACATCAATCTCGACTCTAGAACCTTAGATAGGCAGAGGCTAATAGCCTTTATAATATGATGATAGTGCAAGTTTCTATTGATTCACCCGTCCTTTTGTATTAACTAGTTAAATCATAAATTTGTTAATTTCACTATAAATTGTACCTTCAGAATTTCACCGAACTTTAAACCATTCTTTAACCTAATCATTCATCACTAAACCAACATATTTTCTAATAATCATTCTTAATCTAATTTTTCTTGAATAAATTTGAGTGACAAGGAAAACTTACCGTCATCATCCGAAAATATGTACGGGCTAAATCTCACCCCTGTATAATAGCAATTATATTGATTTTAGAAATGGAAGTTTGTATATCTTGAATTGGAGTGGGAGACTTGATAATGGGCTCAATGTATTTGATGAATTGTTGCACTGCTCTTCCTAACATTCAATTCGGGCTGCATAAATGTTTATATCTTGTTGGACCCAAGAACCATATATATACCATGATCACCGCAAAAAAAAAAAAAAAAACTAATCATTGAATTTTTTAAATAAAAAATAAAAAATTAGAGCATCCATATTAGTGATTTTTTCATAATTTTTTAGATGAGTTGGAAGTGAGATACGATGATTTGAAAGAGAGAGGTGAAAGGAGAGATAAGAATTTGTATTTGCAAGGAGGAATGGACATGGTATTTTCTGGGCTTCAGGATGAGAGAGAAAAGCTATTCAGATATGCTTCTCTTGCCCGTTGAGTGCACGTACAAGCCGGCGTGTGTCGCCTAATAAGTCTCTTCTGTTAATTTTTTTTTGACATTTATGTTTTCTGGCAATTTATATCCTACACCACGGCGCGCGTTGTACTATGCGCCCAGATGCAAAATGACGACGTTTTAATTATTTTTTTTTTTTTGAAATTTCCCGTCCCAGTGAATGGCAGTAGTCTTTCTTTAAAAAAAAATCCGTTGTTCAAGAATGTACATAATGTTATACTAGAATACACATAATGTTATACATGAATGTACATAATTATATAACAAAATATACATACTCTTTTTAAAAGATAATACACATAATCTAACATAATACATAATAAACATAAACTTTTAACATAATACACATCAACTCTTAACATAATACACACAAATTTTCTGATTCGGATGTACATAATTGTATAAAAAGAATGTACATAATTGTATAAAAAATACACATAACTGTATGAACCAATACACATAACGGTGTGAACAAATACACATAACGTTGTGAACAAATACACATAATCTCAGCAACTTCCTACCGCGCCTCCCAACACTACCCCAAAACGACGTCGTTTTGGGAGGAGCGCGGCGCACAGTGCTATGTGCGCCGTGGTGTAGGATATAACGATTATTGTTTTCTTTTTCTCCCATTCCATTTTCCCTTTCTCAGTCATACTTACAAAAACTACTAAAAAACTACCACTAGTGTGGATGCTCTTATACAATTAATCTAGAACATCTGCTAGAGAGCGAGAGGCACCTTCAATTCTATTATTAAATGCTTCAGAAGACATAGTTTCGAAAAAATAAGACGTTGGCCTTGTTTGGTAAATGGCGGTTAGCTGTTAGCTAATTGTGTTAATTAGAGAGTATAACTAGTTGATAACATTAGCTGTTGTAGAAAAGTGTTTGGTTTTTTGAATTTTAGCATTTTAGAGTTGCAAAAAGCTAATTAACCAAACACTTATATTGATATTTTAACTAAATCAAACAATTAATAGTGATAAAAAAAAAAAAAAATCAAAACCAAACAGGGCCGTGTTATGTTTTTGTTTCTTTATTTAACTTTTTTGATGTATCAAACAATTAAAAGAAAAAATAATCACACAGAATTAAATATCTAGTAGCTGCAGTAGGTGACGTAGAACACAAGGAGAAAAAAAAACTGAGTCAAGGAAATAATTAATACATTCTTCAATACTATAGAAATATAAAATGCATGATTATATAAGCCATACATTCTTCCCAAATTATATAGGCCATACATACCCAGACGAAAACACAAGACAAATATATATAAATGCAGAAGTTTAGGGAATTGAAAAGGGCATCTGAAACCAATATAACATAAAGGGAAAATTATTATTTTTGGCCGCTCAATTATTTTTCTAAGTGTGAATATAGTCTCTAATTTTCAATTGCAACCAATCTGATCTTTAAATTGTTTAAAATTTTGTCGATTAAACTATTTTAGGGACCAAATTAATAAAAATTTAAAAATGTGAAAATCATCATTTTAGGGTTAATTGATAAAATTTTAAACAATTCAAGGATCAAATTAGTTGAAATTGATAACTAGAAACTATATTGATAATTAGGAAATAATTGATGAACTAAAATGGTAATTAATTCTAACATAAATATTAAATATTAAATTAAATATAACTAATAACTACACAAGATCATCGTTTCAGGGTGAAATGCATGTAGGTAATGGAAAAAGAAAAATTATATGTACTCTCATTCTTTACCGAGCTCACATGAAAAAAAGTTATATATATATCAACAACTATCACGTCAGAAAGTAAGACTTGAAAGTAAATATAGTAGAACTCAATGAAAAACGACAGTAGAAACAAAAAAGCCATTCATAAACTTAAGACTTTCTTTTTTGTTTGAATACAACTTAGACTTTCTTTTTTGTTTGAATACAACTTAGACTTTCTTGATCGTCCATTCCCAACACATGCATCACTTTGGACCTCTCTCCACTATAAAAGAAGCTCCATCATTCGCATTGCTTCACCAACCCAATACATATATACAGGCCTAATATCAACTTTCATCCATACTAACATATATGGAGATCACAAAGTTATCTTCTCTTTTATTATCCTTGTTGTTTTTAGCAATGGCTTTCATACCCTGCGCTATACCCACCAACATCACCACTGATCAGTCCTCTCTTCTTTCTTTGAAATCCTACACCACCTTAAGTCCCAACCATACATTGGCAAACAACTGGTCCATCACTGCTTCTATTTGCAACTGGATTGGAGTTGTTTGCGGATCCAAACATCGTAGAGTGGTCACATTAGACATATCAAATATGGGTATTGTGGGTACCCTTCCTCCACAATTAGGCAACCTCTCATTTCTTGTTTCTCTTAACATAAGTCGCAACAGTTTCTATGGAAATTTGCCGAGAGAGTTAGCCAGCCTACGCCGACTACACTACATAGATTTTAGTTATAATAATTTTAGTGGAAAAATTCCAGTGGAGATTGGCAATCTTGAGAATGCAAAATGGCTGATGTTGGAAGTTAACCAACTTGATGGTCCTATCCCCTTCACCATCTTCAACATTTCCACATTACAAGTTTTGGTCCTCAACAATAATAGCTTATCTGGCCCTCTTCCAATGAAGCTATGTGAACGTGCTAAAACACTCAAAGTGCTACAACTGCATTTCAACAAGCTGAATGGTGATATTCCAAGGAATTTATCAAGTTTCTCAAAACTTGAAGTTTTGCAGTTGAATTACAACAATTTTGCCGGGACAATTCCGAGAGGGATTGGGAGCTGTGATATGCTTCAACTTTTACTACTCGATAATAACAATTTTGAAGGTATGTATGTTCCTGCATTAGGCTACCAGAGTAATGCATGTTTGGTCAGATTTAATGGTTTTCTATAATAATTTTAAATACATATACATTATATATGACTCATGTTTTAATTTTGTAGGAACAATACCCGAAACAATTTTTAACATTTCTGCACTAACTATTATAACACTGGAAAACAACCATTTATCCGGTATTCTCCCACCAAACATGTGTTCACATCTTCAAAAGCTTGAAGAACTAACTTTGTATAAGAACAAGCTATATGGCAATATTCCAAGGAGCATAGGTGAATGCACTAAGCTTAAAGTCCTTTCAATGTGGGAGAATCAACTAAATGGATCGTTGCCAAGAAAAATTGGAAATTTGACAATGCTAAACACTCTTGATCTTAGTGAGAATTCCTTGTCAGGTATGGTCGGTAGAGCTCTTCTTTTTAGTTGCATTTCTTGCATTCTCACCACACTTCTTATCTGATATACTACAAAATGAAAGAAAGATACTATAATGTGAATTTGGGAACTCCGGCCAACATCACAACTACATATGAATATTGTATTTAATTTGTTCGTGACTTGGGTAACTTGAATATTATATTGACAGGTGAAGTACCCAGAGAGTTGGGCAACCTTTATAAACTAGAGATCCTTGGATTGAATGATAATGCATTAAGTGGTTCTATTCCGTGGGGAATCTTCAATATTTCAACTCTTGAAATACTAGCACTATCAGCTAATGTGTTTTCAGGTACTCTTCCAACATCTTTAGGTTATTGGCTTCACAATTTAAAAGAATTGTACCTTGGCTCAAACAATATTGGAGGAGTTATCCCAGCCCAAATGTCAAATGCTTCCAACCTTGTTGTTCTTGAACTTGGCATCAACCAATTCGTAGGCTTCATTCCGAATTCCCTTGGAAACTTAGCACAACTCGAAATTCTAAGTCTGCCTGACAACAATCTAACAACTGATCCTCAATTTAGCCTTATCACTTCATTGGCAAACTGTAGAAATCTCCATTCATTACAGTTATCAGCTAACCCTTTAAACGCCATGCTCCCAAATGCAATCGGCAACCTCTCCACCACTCTCCAAATTTTCTATGTTGCATATTGTAACATCAGGGGACGAGTTCCACAGGAGATTGGCAATCTAAGCAGCTTATACGAGTTGAGTTTATGGTCCAATGACATTATTGCATTTTTGCCTGCAACCATTCAGGCTCTTCAGGGTCTTCAGGAGTTAGACATATCAGATAACAGATTTATAGGATCATTTCCAGATGTGGTCTGTAAACTACAGAATATGTTCCGGATAGACTTAGGAAAAAATAAATTTTCTGGTCCAATCTCAGATTGTTTAGGGAACGTTTCTTCCCTGAGAGAGATCTATCTGTATGAAAACGATTTCACTGTCTTTCCTCCTACCCTTTGGAGCCTTGAAAACATTTTGAGGGTCGATTTGAATTCGAATAACTTGAGCGGTTCTCTACCTCAAGAAATCGGAAATGCAAGGACGGCAATACTTATTGATCTCTCATATAACAAATTATCTGGAGAAATTCCAAGTAGTATTGGAGGTTTAACAGAGTTGATAAATTTTTCTGTGTCTCATAACAAAATCCAGGGTTCTATTCCTGACACATTTGGCAAACTCTTGGATCTACAATTGTTGGATCTTTCTGATAATAAAATCTCCGGAATGATTCCCAAGCCATTAGAGCGACTTGTAAGCATGAAATATTTCAATGTTTCGTACAACAGATTAACTGGAGAAATTCCAAGTGGAGGTCCTTTTGCCAACTTCACTTATGAATCATTCTTGTCAAATGTTGGTCTATGTGGGACTCCTCGGATGCATGTCCCACCTTGCCCCTCTAATACTCCTCGGATGCATCAATCAAAGAACAACACAGTGGTTCTCATTGTTCTTGTCTCGTTGGCGGTTCTTATAGTGCTAATTGCCTCTGTTTCTGTGCTATGCATTTTCAAGAAGCACAGCAGGGAGGAGGTTCCAGAAGAACCAAACTTTCTGTCAGCAACAACACCAGCAAGATATTCCTACTATGAACTCCAACGGGCAACAAATGGATTCGATGAAAGCAACTTGCTAGGTAGTGGAAGCTTCGGATCAGTTTATAAAGGGATTTTAAAAAATGGGATGCACGTTGCTGTCAAGGTTTTTCGTTTGATACATGACGGTGGAAATAGGAGTTTTGATAGTGAGTGTAAAGTTTTGCGCAATATTCGTCACAAAAATCTCACAAAAGTCTTTGGCAGTTGCTCCAACTTGGATTTTAAAGCATTGGTGCTAGACTACATGCCTAATGGGAGTCTGCACAAGTGGTTATATTCTCACAATTATTTTTTAGATATGATACAAAGAGTGCGTATAATGATTGATGTGGCATCGGCGTTGGAATATCTTCACAATGGTTACTACATGCCCGTTATCCATTGCGATTTGAAACCCAGCAATGTCTTAATAGATGCTGATATGATGGGACATCTGAGTGACTTTGGTGTTGCAAAGCTCTTAGAAAGAGGGAATTCAACACCTTAGCAACATTTGGTTATATTGCTCCAGGTAAATGTTTTAATTTTTTTTTTTCACTTTTTGGATTTGGTTTTAATAATATTCATCACATAACACTATGCAACTCTTATGGTATCTTATTTAATTTTGCACGGCTTCTAGAGTATGGACAAGAAGGTCTTGTGTCCAACCGTAGTGATATGTACAGTTATGGCATCATGTTGCTTGAAGTTTTCACAAGGATTCAGCCTGCAGATGAAATGTTCAATGAAGATTTAAGTCTAAGAAGTTGGGTGCACAATGCATTTCCCCTGAATATAGATCAGATTATAGACCCAAACTTACTTAGACCGAATGAAGAAAGGTACAATGAAAAATTACAATGTGCGTTGGCTATTTTTGAAGTAGGCTTGAAATGCTCAACAAAATCCCCTCGAGAGAGGATTACCATCAAGAATGCGTTACCAGCACTGAAAAAGATCAAAGTTAAACTTGTTTCTCTGTATGCAAGAACTTGAAGTACGTAGTATACATACCATATCATATTGTTTATCTTTCTTTAAAATGCAAATAAAATGTGACAGTTCCTTTTGCATATTTATACACCTAACTTTATTTGCATCTTATAAGCTCTCTAGTTTTGTGTTGTGCCAAGAATATACAAAAAAGGATACGTATTTGTACCTGAAAGAGGTAGAGATGATCACGGTTCCGGTTCGAACCTACGGTTTGAACCGGAACCGTGACTGTGCAAACCGGAACCGAACCGGAACCTATAAGGTTCCGGTTAAGGTTTGTAAAATCTTGGAACCGGAACCGCCGGTTCCGGTTCCAAACCGGAAAAAATTAAATTTTTTTTTTGAAAGCTGTAAACTCGAATATTATTAATGAATATGCGCAACAATGAAATCAGGGGGGTCACCATCCCATAACATAGTACTTTCCTGGTCAGTGACCCTAGATGCTAAAGTATGAGCAACGATATTTAAACGTCTAGGAACAAGCTGTAAATAACATGAAGTAAACTGAGCCATGATGGCCTGACACTCACAAACAATAATACTAACATACGATCTTGGATGCAAATCTACTTTGGATAGATAGGACTTCAACACCGAACAATCCATGGAAAGAGTTACCGAAGTGATCTGCCGGTCCTTTAACCAAGATAATGCCTCCTTACAAGCCAGTGCTTCTGCCGTTATAGCATTCTCACACAACGGTAGTCGTCCATTCAAAGCTGCCACAAAGCCACCTTGATCGTCGAGGAGGACCGCACCGAATGCCGCAGCCCAAGTCGTTGGGGACCACGCTGCGTCTACGTGGCATTGCAAACCAGAGGGCGCTGGATGTTGTTGCTGCTGCCGAAACAGTGCTGTTGGGCATGACTGCCTCCACGCCAAGAGGGCTGCTTCGGCTGCCAAACACACTTGCTTGGGCATCTTCATATAAGCCTCCCATACCGCAGAGTTTCGAGCATTCCATATATGGTACAGGACTGCAACAACTTGAACAAGAACATCCATGGTTAACACAATCATCGCATTCTGAAACCATTCAACAAAAGATCCACCATGCATAGAAGAAATAACAAGACTAGACTCATTCCAGACATGGCATGCATATTGACATTCAATCAGACAATGCATAATATCCTCAATATAGTCAAGACACATGGGGCAAGCAAGATCTACATCAACCCTCCTACTAACAAGTGCTGTTGTGGTTGGCAACACACCACTCAACGCTCTCCAAAGGAACGTTTTCCACCTGGGGGCACATCCAACTTCCATAAAGCTGGCCATTTTTCAAAAGTCGTATTATTCTGTATCTCCCCAACAATCTGACGATATGCACTCTTAACAGAATACAATCCATTATGCTCCTTATACCAGTACCAAGAATCCTCATAATCAGGACAGATTGGCACCCTACGGATTCGGTTCACATCCTGCAGGTCAAAAATATCATGTAGAATATCCAGATCCCAAGTATGAGTATCCTGATCCATCAAACCTGACACCTTTGATTCATAAATACCAGGCGGTAAATTAGTGTGTGTCATATAATCCAAATCTAGAAGCCAAGGATCCCCTCCAATAATAGTATTCCTTCCATTCCCAATCCTCCTCCTCACTCCCCCGCATACAAGACTATGTGCAGCCATTATACTCCTCCAGCAGTAGCTAGGATTACTTCCTATGGCAGCATTTTTAAAATCAGTTTTAGGGAAATACCTAGCCTTGTATATTCTTGCAACCAATGACTCTGGCTTCGTAAGAAAACGCCAACCTTGTTTACCCAACATTGCAAGATTAAAAGCTCTTAGATCCTCAAAGCCCAGGCCCCCAGCTGTTTTTGGTTTACTGAGACGATCCCAAGCCATCCAACGTATTCCACCTGCACCACCCTTATTCCAATAATATCTGTTCATAGTTCTCTGTATTGCCATACAGAGGGAATCAGTTAATAAAAAGACACTCATTAAATATTATAGTGTTTTTTTTAATTTTTTTTAAAATAATTCCGGTTAGAACCGGCGGTTCCGGTTGGAACCGCCGGTTCTGAACCGGAACCGTGGTCACCCCTAGAAAGAGGTAGCCAAAGGAGTAAAGTATGATTCTCATATCAAGCTCATCGTTGTATGAGATTTTCTTAATGCGATTTCTTTATTTTGTATAGTTTGCTACCTATTACATAGAAGTGAGTTTACTTAGTACACTCTCGCGGTAGTGATTGGAGATTTCCCTTGCATCCAAATAAAGCAAGATTGCTCTTTTTGTTCTCCATGCTAGTTTTAGTCCTTTGATTATTAGATTTTTTATCAACAATTTTAATAATGTCTTTGCAAGTGCACGAGTCAATTATAGTTTAATTAGCATATATTTTGGTCACCTTGACAACCTTAGATGGTGCTCATGAATTCATGCAATAATTATTAACTCACGCTGATAATTTTTTTTTTCTTTACCCATCCTACCACAAAATAAATCAAGACCAATTTGCGAATTTTGATCTAACTCGATATCCCAAATAATGCTCATGAAATCATACAATATGTTTTCGCATTTTGAAAAGCCACCTAACTCACTCTCAACCAATTAACATTTGGGATGTTAGGTGGAAGATATCTTGCTAGTGGATCAAATAGTATGTCTCAATACTATTTTCATTTTTTACTTTATAATTTTTTAAAAAAAAAAAAAGAAAAAGAAAAAGAAAAACATTGCAATTATCGAATATGTATTTTTGTCAAATCATCTAATATATTATCGAACATTTCAATGTTGTGTCATCTGAATAAATGAAATTCGATTCTCTATTAATTTATAAACAATTTTTTTTTTACCTAAACACCAAAAAAGATATACACAAAAAACTTGTTATTTAGTGTCAAAAGTGTATCCATCTCAATTGGAAAAGGGCACGAAAAAGTTGAAAACTAGCTTTGTATCATAAGTTTGAACTACAAAAAGTCAAAGGTACTGCTTATGTCCTAGAGATTAGTAGAAGAGGTAAATCGTGAGGTACTAATAATTTAATTACTTTTTCATTAATTAACTATTAGATAAAAGGATCGAGATAAATAATAACAGACATGATAATGATTTATTCGTTTGAAATATTAAAATTACAATGAATAAAAACAAACAAGCATAAATGGTTAGTACATATGAAAATTGAGTTACAAAGAATAAAAACAAACAAGTATCTATCCTTCACAATCATGGAGAAAGTTGCAGGAGACAAGCTGATGAGAAGATGTAATGTACATCCTTGTTCCATACCTAGAATCCATTGTACATAGAAATTGGAAATTACTGTGTGTGATTGTTGCCACTCTGCAACAGGGTGTCCCCATTCCCACTACTTGTTACATCCTACATGTTTCCATCTTGGGTTTGCACGTGCAAAACCTTCATCATGACCTATTCAAAAATGCGACTAGCTACCTTATATCAATTATTTCTTTGGTTGGTGCGTCTCCACTTGCCGGCAAAGTTTATCACCACAACCTATCAAGTAATTACACATTTTTATTTCGGATTTTTCATCTTTGCTTTTTAATCATATGATATGGTTAGTGATATGTGATACAATGGTTTATCAAGAAGATGATAAATCTTTATGTCTGGACCTTAAGACTCTATTTATCCGGCATGCATAATGTAAAGATTTTCTATTTGACTTGTATCTTTGGCTTTAGCTTAAATGACTTTACCTCCTGTCGCCGGTCTTAGTCATACTTTAGGAGTTAAAAAAAAAAAAAAAAAAAAAAAAAAAAAAAAAAAAACCAACAACAACAACAAAACAAATAAAATAACTGAATGAGGATTTCAGTAATCGTCATTAATATTTTTATTTTTTTAAAAGAAGCTTTGATCTATAAATATATATAATTAATTAAATAACATCAATTTTGACTCCCTTTTGTAGTATGAACACCGACCTGTTCAAGCATTAAGAGTCAACGTCGTCTTCACTGAAGCTTAATCTCATAACCTCCTATATAAGAGAGTTCACTATATGCCATCTGAGCACAAGTTGTTTGGCAACCATTCTTTAACCTAATCATTCATCATCCACTAACACAAAGTATTTTCTAATAATCATTCTTAACCTAATTTTCCTTGACTAAATTTGAGTGACAAGAAAAACTTACAGTCATTACTTGAGAGTATGTACGGGCTAACTTTCGCCCGTGTGTAATAACAATTGTATGATTGATTTTAGAAATGGAAGTTCGTATATCTTGAATTGGAGAGGGAGACTTGATAATGGGCTCAAGGTATTTGATAAATTGTTGCACTGCTCTTCCTAACATTCAATTCGGGCTCCATAGATGTTTATATCTTATTGGACCCAAGAACTATATATATACCATGATCACCCCCAAAAAATTTAAAAATAATAATAACAATAATAATACTCTAATCATTGAAATAAAAGAAAAATTAAAATTTATAGAATTAATCTAGAACATCCGCTAGAGAGCGAGAGGCAACTTCTATTATTAAATGCTTCAGAACACATATGCTCTATTTGATAATATAGTTAGCTTATTAGTTAATTTTGACTTATTTAATCATTATTACATGTTTAACTTGGTTAAATAGTTAATATGAGTATTTGACTAATTAGCTTTTTGTAACTGATAGTGTTAATTGCCACGTAAGCGGAAATAAATAAACACAAGACCAATTAAAGCAATTAAATGTCTTTTATTGATCAAGGTGAAGGCCCTAAGTACAATCTAAATGGCTCTTCCGAGTACCGACTGACTGCGATCGGGATTCTCTAATAACAACCTATCGATCGTCAAAAAGTCCTTCACACTGTTGCCACCGCGGGTATTTATAGCCGCGAGGCCGGAGACACAAGTCCGGCCGTCCGGCATGTCGCCCACGTAGCAACCACGTGTCGCCCTCCCGGGTGCCCTGCCTGTCAGCACGTAGTGCTGCCACGTGTCTCTTCTCAGCTCTCTCGCCTAAGGGCTACCGCTCGGTGGTCGACGACGCCGGTCGGGAACCGACCGGGTTCTTCTAAGAAATCCGACCTGTAACCTGCACAAATAAGGATAAAAGGACGAAGGCATGTCGGTCGGGGTATTCCCTACCAAGAGCCCCCTAGCCCGTGCCTTTTTGATCATCCGGGAAAAAACGGGACGGGATGAAGAAGCCCAACCGTCCGCCGCCAAACCGACCGGCCAGCTGTCATTCCCTTCACGCCACGTGTCGATGACTGCCGGCCTCTGCGACCGCAACAGTCACCTCGAAGTCAGGAGCGGTCGCGTCACGCAAGTGGATTGGTTTCCCGCCCAAATGCACTCCTATAAATAGGCCTTTGAGGCCCTCATTTGAACTTTTCCCAATCTTCTTGCATCGGTCGGTACACTCAGAGCGTCCCGAGCGAAGCATTTCAGCAGATCGGTCAAGCAAGTAGCTTTCCCGCTTTCAAGTCCCTGCAATCGGTAAGTTCTCTGGTCCTTAGCTTTTATTTTTCGCTTTACGCTTTCGCATAGCCAACTGTAGGCAACAACTAACTTCGACCCAATATCCCGAGTCCCAAACTAACCCCGACCGGCCTTTAGGTAGACAAAATATCAGATTCGGACAGCCAGAATGTGTCAGTTGCGGACTACGACGATGAGGTCGAACAAATCAACGAAGAGGTGGACATAATGCCTTACTCCCCGGAGGTCGTTCAACGACCACAAAAAGCCCCCCGAACGAGCCCCCGAGCAAGGAAGGTCGTCGAGCTCGTCTGGGACGTCAGGGTCCAGCTCGAGCGGATTAGGGAGCTCGAGCAGAGAGAGCGGGGAGATGTCCACAAGCGGACGAAATCTCCCGACCGAAGGCGTTCGGGATACACCAACTAGGGTAATTGGGGATTACCCTCAAGCCGAGCCCCAAGAAGATGATCAAGAAAACGCCGCAGAGCCGGTCGAGGAAGACTCGGCCGAACCGGCAGTACCGGCCGCAGGCGGATTCGAGTTCTTGAACAGCGAGAACGTCGAACATCAGATGAGTAAGCTGACAAAAGGAGAGGCGGCTAAAATCGCCGCAACACTCAGCGGTCGGGTCGAGTTTGATACCAACCGCCGGCTCGGGAACGTCATTGAGCGCCATCGGGGAAAGTGGATCGGGATGCACTACGATTCACTGACGGCCCCGAT